AGCTTGGATTTTCTCGGGGTTAATCTCTATTCCTCTCTGGTTAACCATATACCCCAAAAATTTCCCTAACGAAACCCCGAAAGAACATTTAAGGGGATTGAGCTTCATTATCTACTGTTGGAGGATCTCGAACATCCCAGCGAGATGCGCTATGTGATCTGAAACGATATGCGACTTGACCAGCATGTCATCTACATAGACCTCTATCGATTTTCCAATCTGTTCGGAAAACATACGGTTAACCAACCGCTGGTAGATTGCACCAGCATTCCTTAGGCCGAAGGGCATAACTCTGTAGCAATATAGCCCCCGATCTGTAACAAATGAGGTATGTTCTTCGTCTAGCGCATACATCAGAATTTGATTATATCCCGAGTATGCGTCCATAAAACTCAGTAGCTCGTGCCTAGAAGTGGTATCCACGAGCTGGTCGATTCTTGGTAGGGGAAAACTATCCTTTGGGTATGCTTTGTTGAGGTCGGTGAAGTCGACGTAGGTCCGCCACTTGCCATTGGGTTTCTTTACCAGAACCGGGTTAGCAACCTAGCTCGGGTAGAGCACTTCCCCGACGGACCCGTTTCAAAAGAGGTTATCCACCTCGGCTTTTAAGGCAGCATATCGCTCCAAATCCATTGCTCTTCTCTTTTAGTGGACTGGCTTGGCTTCACTGTCGATGTTTAAGGTATGGCAAATCACATTCGGGCTGATCCCGACCATGTCTGTGTGCGACCATGCGAACACATCGACATTCTCTTTGAGGAAGCTGGTCAGTTCGATGGCGAGCTGGGGGTTGAGATTGCTCCCAATCCTCAATCCTCAACACTTGGCTTGGCTCGGCTCGTTCTGGTCGACTGACACTTCGGATAAGTCCTCAACTAGCCCATTGGAAGGGCATTCCTAAATACGGGGATCTAAGTTGTTCTAGGCCAGGTCAGGCTGTGGTTCGATCCGACTGATTGCCATTGCTTGCTCGGGAATACCCCGCGAGATGCCCTTTCCTTTGCACGCCATCTGCACTGCTCTTACATAGCAATCGCGAGATGCGCGCTGAGATCCGCTCATTTCCCCTATCCCCGTCGGGATGGGGAACTTCATCTTCAGATGGTAAATCGAGGTGACCGCTTTGAAGTTTCTTAGTAGAGGTCTCCCCAGGATGCCATTGAATGTCGAGGGGCAATCTGCCACCAAGAATTCAATAACCTTGGTCACCTCGTCAAAGTCACCCAACATGATCGGAAGCAAGATCGTTCCTTTGGGGATAAAATGATCCCCGGTAAAGCCGTACAAAGGGATGGAGGCAGGCTTCAGGTCAGCCTCATCCAATTTCATTCTATCGAAAGCTTGCTGGAACAGGATGTTCACAACGCTTCCGTTGTCCACCAACACTCTGTGGAGGTTGTAGCGCCCGATCAAAGGCGTGATGATGAGAGCATCATCATGAGTGTAATGCAATCACGCTACATCTTTCTCGAAGAAGGAAATTTCCTCCTCTTTGCAAATCTTAGGTGGTCGTTGCGTCATGTTTATCACACGGATTGGGTCGTGATAAGCTGCGCAAGCATATCTTTCCTGGGTACCTCGCGAATTCCCTGTGAGGTGCGGTCCTCCAAATATGACTCTGACGCTATAAATACCCTTGCGATCACGATGCTTCTTACTCGGTTCTCCATGTTCATTCTCCCGCATGGGAGTGGAGTCATCAATATACTCCTTGAAATGCCCCTACTTGATGAGGTCTTCGATTGCCTGTTTAAGAGCTCGGCACTCATCGGTGTGATGCCCATTATCCCGATGAAAGTAGCAGTATTTCTTGCTATTTTTAGCTGATGGGGGGTTTTTCATGGGCTCAGGCTCTCTGAGCAGGCCAGCCTCTTCTAACTTGTCAAGAATAGCCGATACAAATGCATTCAAAGGTGTATATTGATTCCTATCACGATCGTGACAAGGAACCGGATCATAAGACTTGGGCTCAAACCGTGGTTTCTTTCCTTTTCGCTGATCATCATTAGCCCAGCAACGATCAGTCCTCCTGTTCTCCCCTCGACCAGGTGCACTGCCTGAAGGGCCAGGGTTGTGGCGGTGGAGTGCTGCCACGGAGTTTTCAATACGGAGATATTTCTCCGTGAGGCTGTAGAAGCGGGTGAGGAAAACATCATCCTCAGCCTGTAGCTCTTTCCATAAATCGGTTTGTGGGCAAACTCCCGTGATGATGAGAGTCCGAATAGACTCTTCGGGAGTATGAGCTACTTTATGGAGCTCTCTGTGGAATTTGTTGATGTAAGATTGGAGAGACTCGTCCCTTCCTTGCCTTATGTTGCTGAGATAACTCAAAGGCATTTAGAACTTTTTGTTTGCTTGGAAATGTCTCAGGAATTTCGAGCTCATCTAATTCCACGAGCTGATCGATCCTGGTGGAAGTGATCTAAACTATCGCTTAGCATGTGAGGTTAGAGTTACTGCCAAACAACGGCACTTTGCCAGGTTTGAAACCTGGTGAAGTTCCATCAAGTCGTTGAATTCATACAAGTTATCCTCCGGATCAGAATTTCCATCGAACGCCCGCATATCAGGCATTCTAAATCTTAATGGAAGAGAGGCAGCTAACACCGCCGGAGAAAAGAGGGACGACTCTGCGACCTGCCCTTACTCATTTTGCTGAGCCTTTAATTGATCAAGAGCTCGTTACAGCTCTTCGATTTGAGGTAGCAGTGCTACCTGGGGATTACTTTTCGCAACATGGGTTTGACCCTCACAGTTACGATTGAGGAATGATCATAGGTCAGATTCCTCCTCACCTCTGCCGGCTGTCCCGGCTAATCTTAACACACGTTGGCTAGCGCCATCTGATGGCGTTGTCTGATTCGGGGAATTTTCACGACCTCCATGGTGGTGCGAACCGACCCGCGGAGTGTGGTAGCTTCCCGTATGACTATTAAAGTCGTCATTTCGGCGGTGATGAAAATCGCCCCGCCTCGCGCTTTTGTGGGAGTGCTCGTGCGATGTCGCATGGGATAGCTCTGGTAGCACATGTCACCGAGCCGCAACTTCATGGGTATTCTACCCGGGGCACGGTCGGTGTTCGCTGGCCCTTCGGAGCCTCTAGGCCTATTGTTCGCCACTTGTTTTCCCTTCCTTTGAAGCACTGTAGTGCTCGTGGAACGGGCTATTGCCTGTCTTTGCGCTTTCACTCGACTTGCAGGCGTTTTTTGCAGTGGCACCGCATCATTTACTTCAAGTGGTGTAACCCGATCTAATCGGTCCAACCTGCGGTTGACCGTTTGAAGAGTATTGTTGAACCTCTTCAGGTAACTCATGACGGCTGGGTCAAGCCGTGAGCTTGAAGGGATGTCCCCCACAGTATTTGGTGGGATTGAGGGCACCTCGGGAGAAGTGTCCTCTTGTACCTGGGGGGTCTCTTCATTCTCATTGTTGGTTCGCTCAGATTCGAATCTGCGAGCCATTTGCTGTTGTAGGACCGTTTAGACAGAGATTCTCTTGATGAAGGACGAATACTAAATCAGGCCCTCCTTCTAGCGCCAAACTGTTGATGCTTGACTTTGACACCAATGACTCACACGTGGGAAACGCTGAGTTGACTCAGGAGACACATGTGAATGGAGAGTTGAAAGTGTAAGAGTAGACAACGTTTAAAGTGGTTCGGATACTCAAAAGCAAATCCTACGTTCACTGATATAATATTTATATTTTGGGGGGTCAGGTCGCGGCTAGCGAGCTGACTTTACAGTTGTGAATACAAATGAGAGAGAGAGAGAGAGAGAGAATGAACTATTACAGAGTAAATTGAGCTAATAAAGAGTAGAATGAGCGAATCCCACAAACGGGAGTGAAGCTCCCTATTTATGTGGGATACATTGAGGTAATGATTACTGAATCCGTAGAAAGGGGGACTGATACCGTGCAGATCTTTCCCTGTGTCCCGTCGTTTACCTACTTCGAGGGATTTATGCGATGTGTGCAGGGATTTTGACAAGTGGGCATCTTCCAGCCTTCCATCAGTCTGGCGCGCACCCACTGCACTGGCAGGAGTGTACTGCTCATGTCACCACACGATGTGGATGCGCCAGAACGTCAGCGAGACCTGCCCGAGGTTTGACTACTTGCGCTAACAAGGCACTGTGTCAGCCCTATTTTCCCAGGCATAACAAGTTTGATGTGTTTAAATATCTTAATTATCATTCTTACAATTTTGGAAGTAAAAAGAAAATGTATATGGATTTCATTTCTAAATATTACAATCAAAACAAAAAAGCATAAAAAAAATTAAAAACATATATAAAATAGTATTTTTTATAGTAGATGGGGTTCATAAAGACATTTGCAAATGTTAAAAACATTTTAATAGGGTAAACTTAGAAGTGGGGTCTCGAAAGATAAAATACGGAGTGCCCGTATAGCTCACTCTTTTCAAACTCTATAATCTTGTTTTTGGCAAAATAAAATTTAAAATTGTTCGTGTACTTATAATGACTAAAATAGGCATTTTATTTTATTTCTTCAAGCATCTAATAAAAATGTAATAAAAATTGTCAAATAAATTATTAATTAAAGAATTAAAAAAGATTGGATCTGTCCAACCGTTGGTCAACGATGGAGCATTAACATTTAACAGCATAGCTGGTCTTGTCCAGATCAGCTCATGCGATTCTGATAAGACCGACGATGAGAAGCAACTCGCGTCACTGGCATCCGATTCCGACTGCCTCCGTTGACATCCACTGTCAATCTGTCACTAGTCATTTCAATTTTATTAATTTCATTAAAAAAGGATATATTTAATAAATTAAATTTTTTATTTAAATTCTTTGTAAATAAAACTATAATGTAAATGTGTGTATATCATTGTAAAATCAGCTTTGAGAATAATAATTGTTAAAACTGATTTTTATTGTTAATTGATTATTTCTAAAGCAAATACACCCTTAGACCGTTGAAATGAAACATTTTTTCCAATATAATAAATTTTAGTGAAAACAAAAGTGGAAGTGAAGTGCGCTTTATATTATAACAAAGAAAGAAGAAATTACATACAAAATTAATGTACAACATAGTTATTATTACAAGCTTTACAACAAATAACTCAACCCGGCCATCTGTATCAGAAACTGTAACTGTACATCTTTCATTGTTACATACACCACCATCAAACTTCATCAAGATATGTAGCAGATCGACGCAATTTTTTACCAGAGATTCACCAAATTGTTTCTGTTCAATTAGCATCAAAGAAAGGGTCATAAAACACCATCAACAAAACTTTTTCTACCCTGATTCGCCATTTTGTTCTGTTCAAATACCATCAAAGAAAGGGCCATAGATCACCATCAACACAATTTTTCCCTGTTTCACCAATCAAAGAAAGGGTCATAGATCAGAGCTTAGTGATCAACACTGTCACATTCACATCTCATTCACGTTGCTACTTCTTAGTAGGGTCAGAATCATAAACTCAGCAATATGAGTCCACACGATCAAGTGTAGCTGTTCTCCATGAAGCTGAGTTAGTTGATTTAAGTAGCAAGCCCAGTGATGAAGAACATGTTGCTCTAACAATTGCCTCCGTTGAGCGACTCATCTTACTAACCAACATCCCAAACACCTAAATGAAGATAAAACTTTTTCTTTTTAATATATTACATTTAAATATAACATCCAACTGACAGTAAGTAAGAACATCAGAGATTGACCTGTGTATAATACATAGCTAATATGCGTTGATCATCAGAAAAAGAGACCATGCTACTGGAGAAGTAAACAGCATTTGCCTGAATCGTAGGCCATGGTGCTTCAAAAGCCTGATTCATCAAGAATGTAACCAAGATTTGTCATCATTTTTATAGTATTTGAAAGTGATGTAATGTCAATAATACTTAGAGAGAAGATGGCAATGCTTTGGTCGAACAGAAAATATGAAATAGAGCAGAGCAGCAAAAAAGGATTTAGGGTTGCCAACCCAATGCAAAAGGGCTGGTTGCATAGGCTTCTAAACTGCATCGCAATCAATTAAGAAGTATACAACAAGGAGCAGTTCCCAATCAAAATCTAAATTGATCAGTAAAATTAACACCTGTATTGTTGATGCAACACAATTATCAACTCTGGAGGAAGCATGCAGCAATAACAGCCTAGAGAGATCTCTTAAAAATCCTTCATAGTCACCACTGAAAATATCCAAAGAAATATTTGCCACGATGAGGGACATGAAACCATAAAGTTTATCATAATTTGCTCATTTAAGATTCATAATGCATACCGATGGTCAGAACTAAAACCATGTAAGTTGAACAAGCCAATCAATCCTTCCATTTCCATCAAAGGGGCGATTCGTTTGAGGGTATTCTATTCATTAAACATGTCAAAATTTTGTCAAATAAGTCTCATGCAGAGAAGTAAAAGAGGGTAAGAATCACTTACTCGACAAGCCTGTCTAACACTAAGATCGTCATCATAAAGGTGCAGAATCACGTGTGGGAAGGCACCATGAATCTGAGAAAAATCAGGTTGTATTAGCTAACTTGTTATATTGTCCACTGCACCATAAATTATTAAACAATAAAAATCAAAAAACACATAAATTACAATGACATTTTACTTGTAAGAAAGGGGGAGAGAAGAGGGGAAGCAAAATGAAGAATAACGAATGAAATTTAGGCATGTTATGTTAACAATCTTAAAAACTTAAACATATATGAAATGTTGATTGAGAACTTATCATGTCTGTTAATTGTTTTAACTAAAAGTTAAAGCTACGAGGTAGAACCCCACAATATTATTTCAGCTCTAACATGCCCCCACTCACATGCACTTGCACATGTATTTAGCAGAGCAGCAACCATGAATTCAACCATAACTACAAATGCAACTTATGATAATTTAATTAATAGGCCAATTCCAACACAAGACTATCTGGTCATACAGGCTTTATACCACGTTAAGGAACCATTTTGACTAAAAAGCTTTAAGTTAATAGATAAAGGCTCAATAGTAGTAATCAAACCATAACAGTGCTCACAATTTTTTAAAACCATGTGAATCCAAACACAAGGCTCTCTTGCTCTTTATAGCAATTTAACTAACTGAATGAGAGAATTTTTCAAGATCTAAATACAAGATCTCTAGGTGAAACATGTTTTAATACAATACTGTATAACTGTCAATCCCAAAATTAAACTAGTAAGACAAGAGTCACTCAAATCCCAAAATTATAAACAAAAACACTGATGTGCTAAATGACTCCCATAGGAAAATAGGAGTAAACAAAGGACCTGTTCAAGAAATGCCTCCCGTTGTTCCCCAACGCCAAAGTTGCTTAGAATCCCAAATGCTGCAAAGGCGTTTGCTCGTATTTTCGCATTCATACACGCCTTTTCCAAATAAGAACATTAAATAATGTATTAGCTCAATTAAATGAGCACCATCAAAAAGAATACGCAGCTTTATATCCAGAACAAAGTAATCTAAAAACCTCATATATGCTTGAATATTCAGCACTATATTCTTACTAAGCGTAGTCTTAACACCTCATTGAAGCATGAATATAAAACTTATTAATTACCGAAGTACAGACCAACTCTGAGGTCTGGAGCTGGATGCAAAGACACACAGATCATCACAGAGAAAAGGGTGTTTCATTTGTTTTATACAGATTCTGCCATGACTCTAATTAGTCAAGGAAGTAACCGTACAAAAATCAGGTTCTAATCAATCGCATGAATAATTAATCCACACTCACAATAAAATATTTCCATTTTATGTCAAATTATCATTCACATAAATGTTATATGCCACTCTTACATATATGACTGAAAAATTTTAGAGCTATGATCAAGATTACAACATTTTCTTTCATTAACCTTACAAAAATCAGGTTGTAATCAGTCACATGAATAATGGATCCACTCTCACAATAAAATATTTCCATTTTATTTCAAATTATCATTAAGATAAGCATTATATGCCTACTCTTACATGTCTGACTGAAAAATTTTAAAGCTATGACCAAGATTATAACATTTTCTTTGATTATGTACTTTTCCACCAGGTCTTTTGATTGGGTGACGAAATTTCTTTGGCAAGCAGTTTTCTCATGATAAGAGGTACAGTGCTGTGATTAAGCATCATAAACTGATTTTTGAAGTCAGCGCCTGTTATTAGTTAGCCAACTGCAGTATTCTTGAAAAATTATGAGTTTGCAGCTAACAGGTTGAATAATTTCACCTCAATTGTAGATGGAATTCTTGGATCTCCAAGAGCATTATCCTTTTCATCATGCATCTTTGCCTAATATATTCTATTCTGTCTTTTCATCACCTTTCAAACAACACCAACATACAAATTCCAAAAATTTCTCTATAAAAATTATATGAAACAGCAACATGTATAATATAAAAGATGGAACTTTCTCTGTTTCTAAACAACAAATTTAAACAGATAATTTGCCATCCTGATTGCATGCATTTGGGATCATATTAATATATAGATTATAATACAATGACAACAATGTGAATGCAGAAAATCATGTAAAAGTTTTTGAGAAAAACCATAGAATGTAAATAAACGCACTTGCAGATTCCGGAGCCGCATAGAAAGATTCAGCAAAATAGGTTCCACAGCATCATTGGATGACGACTCGAGAATCTATGATGAACAGAAAAAATGGAAACCACAAAGCAAATGAATCCAGATATCCATGACTAGAAACATAAGAAATTATAAAAAAAATAAAAATAAAAAAAAATAAAAAGACACACAAAAGTAGAGTGAATCACCATTAGCAAGCACGATACTGCAGTCAGTTGCACTGACTCATCCAAATCATCAAGCAATGCCAATATCACACCAAGAACTTGAGTAGTGTACTGATAAATATTATTGGATGGTATCTGCAACAGCAAGTCAAGAAAGCTCATTTTTTAAAACAAATAAAAAGAAAGTAAATACCATATATACAAATGTTCATGTAAGCCTTGAGAGAGAGAAATTATGACCAGACACCCATCTCCACCAAATCAAACATAAAATTTATCTAGAAACTTCTGGTCTCCATAATGTGGTTGTATGAACATCTGCATGCATGTGTACATTGGCAAAACATTCCAACATGAACAATCTAGCAAATCAATATTATAACTGAAAGAGAAGGAAATATCATGTGTACCAATGTTTCAATACTAATAGCTAGTATAATTAAAATATTATTACTTAGATATATAGTGCTTCCGCAGGTACTTTACCTGCACCAGTCCCCTTAAACAAAGGCATCTAACGGTTGGAGATTCATCTGATACGTATCGACAAAGGGCTTCAACCATCTCTTCCAGTAGGGAATTAAATGCAGCACTGGAACATTGAGAATATTTATAATTGATATCAAAGTAAAATTCAACATATGGAACTATAACAAGAGAAAAGGGACAAGTTCTGAGTTCGCCATGAAAGAGGAGTGATAACAAGCAGAGATCACATGTGAAAAAAAAAAAAAAAATCATCTGAAGATTCTGAACTACAGTAACAGACTACATGTGGCCAGTACAATAAATCAAACAAAACCAAAACTATATGGACCCATCAAAGAACGCAAAGTACCTCCAAATTGAAGAGAGAATAATTATTGATTAGCTCTAGTAACTTCAAGACAAACGCAAGAACAGAAGAACTGGTGGTCGAAAACAAGGCTAACATGACAGCCCAACCAGTATCCCATAATCAAAAAAGCCACATTGTAATACCTTGTAAACCAAAAACCCAACAATCCTGAGATATAGCATAGAGTGACCAAGTTGGATAAGGTGGGAGCATGTTTCAGAATCCCACATTGTCAAGATGGATGAGGTGAGAGTCAATTTCAGAATCTCAAATTTCCTGGTTATATAGGGTCACTGGGACTAAGGCCTTTTGGGGGAACCCTAAACGCAAATATGTGCAACCTAGGTCTCAAGTGGACAATATCATAAAGTAGGAGCATGTCGATTAATATCAGAGCCAAACCTACCTCACGGCGTGGGCCAAAGAGAGCCAATAATCCAGGCTTAGTTCCGACACAAGGACGTGTTATCCTTTAACAGGGTAGATTTTTAACACTCAAGACCCAATACTCTTTGACATATAGCATAGAGTGGCCAAGATGGATTAGGTGAAGTGAGTTTCGAAATACCATATTACCTAGCTAGAGAGTTAGAAAGAAGTAAAAGATTTTCTCATGGGTATGAGGCCTTTAGACATACTACAGAAAAATACAAACTATAGTAAACTTAAATTAAGTCAACAAACTAAATCCTCGAGAATATCATTCTCTGGAAAGCACAGAGTTTGGTATGTCTTGTTTTAGTTAGTCTGGTTAAATCTAATTTTCACTGATATAATAACTGATTGAAAATGAAGAGAAGAGAAATAGAAACTGAAGTAGAGGAAAGAGAAAATGGACAAAAAGATTGCAAGAAGAGTAACATGAAACAAAGGAATACATAGTCAGCCCTCCAACCCCACCAGTCAAAAGAAACTGCATCTTCAATCTACCCAATATCTTTTTCCAAGTAACTTTGGCAAAATAATAAATATAGATATGCTATTAAGACGTTCAATACATGCATGAAACATTAAAAACAAATAAAGCAAATACATACAGAAAATCTATCAAGAGTAGATTATTTACACAAACCTATAGCGGATAAACTCTGACAGTGCAGCAGCTGCAGCTTCTCTTTGAAACCTTTGTTGACGGTTTAAGGATTTGGTCAAAATTAAACAAATAGTTTGAACCTGGACAGGTTGACCATAAAATAACAAACATCAATGCCTCAAATAGTTTTGGCCAAACCAGCACAAGAGGACTAGGTAATAGTGCAATGACTGAACAACAAAAGAATTAACTTAACGTGCTACCTCTTTTGGCCTCTTTATAGAGATGCATCCAGCTACATCTCCAATAAGATTTATCCACTTCTCTTTTTCATGTTGCTCTCCACCTCTAGCCAAAATCTGCAGATTAAATTTTAAGCTAATTTTATCTTTAATTTAAAATACATTAAGTATCCATTATTGCAGTGGAAAGTGGTTCACGTATATTATCATGTACCTTTCCCATTTCAAGGTCTCCAACACATTCACAGAAAGCCTGAAATGCAGCTAACAGAGCTCTGCAGAGACAGGGCAAAAGCATTCATTTGAAGAAAGAAAAGTAAGATTTAAGGATGAAAATAAAGAAAGGAGATTTATGAGCTTAACGTTCACACAGCAAATATAGAATGTCATATTCAAATAGGAATAGAATTATACAATGCATACCGTAATGGTTCATGCTGACCAGAACTAGCTAGACCATGACAACTTCCCAGTTGGATTATAAGAGCAGCAAGAACAGGAGCATAACTTTGTTCGACAGCTTTCTTTCCAATCTTACCACCACCTCTGTAATTTAAAATGTATATAAAAAATCCAGAAAAAGTAAGATCACACAAAGATAAAAATGGATGAATGCGATTGATCATAGAAACCTGAAAAAGGCAGTGATAGCCAAAATAGCAGCTTGCAAAATGTCATCATCTATCTGAGTATCAGCAAAATGACTTGAAATTTCTCCTTTCTCCTTATCACCCTTAAGAACAGGACTCTCATTGAGGGCAGATATAAGATGCTCCAGGAATAAATAAGAAAGAACAGCATGTTGGGAGAAGGCCTATGCAAGAATAAAGAAGAACATAATCATTGAACTGTTAAAATTCATTTACATGACTATAGTATCCTAATCCTTAAAGGGGAAAACACGAAAGAGGGAGAAAAAAGACTTCCATATTTTGTAAACAAGAGGACAACATTCATCTTAAGGCAGTATTTTATGTCTCATGCATGAAATTTGACATTTGAAAAGACAATTTAAAGTTTCCAGCGAATCAATTCTTGGATTTACTCTTCACTGCTCATTCTAACCTGCCAGGAACTGAAGGAATCAGACTTGAAAAGGAAAGAGAAAAGCCATTGTACATGCCAATGAGAATATCCATTCAACTTCACTAAATTCCCCATCCCATGAAGTAGAAGATTCTCACCAATTGGTACTCTAAATAATTTATTTACAAATTCAATAAGCATCATCTAATTTGTAGTAGCAGAAAATTAAATAAGCATCATTCAAATACTATCAAATAGTATTACAACTCAATTATACTAAAATTGAGAATAAAAAATATGAAACTATCCAAGATTACACAAATGGTCTTCCAATTTAATATCTAATGGGACTCACATAGAAGGCATCCTGCATGGGCCAGCCACCACGTAGTCTAGATATGTCCTTTGTGACTATATCCCTTCCAGCAGTAGCCAATACTTCATTGAAAACAATTTTTGAATTGGTGTTCTCTGCTAGAGAGGAAATCTGCTTATAGTTAAGGATTTAAACAAAAATACAATACACAACGAAGGCAACTCCACAGTTGAATCAAGCTACAAGCAGAAATAAAAACACACACTTAAGCACCAATTATTCTAACTACAATATACATATAAAGATACAGCCCCAAGAGTTTCCAACCGTAAATGTTTCTCGGTCACATGAGCTGCAGCGGAGAGCAAAGATTGAGTAGTCCTGGTGACACAGATGCAATCAGCTTTACTAATAAATTTTTAACTCCCTCTCTCCCATATGCGTTCAGCAATTTAAAAGATTCAGTTCAGAACTCAATCAAATATTTTTAAGAAAAACCTTGAAACATCAGTTTCACTCAGCTCAGCTCCCCTCTTTGTAACAAACTCAATGACAGCTTGAATAGCCCCTTCCGCAGACTGCTTAATCCTATCGCATATAGCTGTGGTACAATTATGCAAGGTGCCTACAAGCTTCAAGAAATCACACAAGTAACTTGAAGCTGCCAGTGTCTTAAAAGAAATTGTAAAATATATCTACGAAATAAACCATACCTCGTCCTTTGTCAATAGAGTACAGGCAGAGGAAACAATTCTGTTGAAAACCTCAGATGGATCAATAGAAGCATCCTGAATATACAGAAGGGGGAACAAAAAATTACAGGGTAAACCGCAGATATAAACAGACATGAATTATGCAGTAATAAGAAACTTACACTTCTCAAGATGGCTATAACATCCTCAAGGGAGGACAAAGTGCTGTAGGACAATTCTATATCCACACCAGAATTTGAACCAACAGGCCTTGGAAGTGAAAGAGAGATGCTAAAGAGTTGATCAAGAATCTACCAAAATAAAAATTGAGGGACAATAAATTTCTGAGTAAAATATTTGGAGAGCTACTAAACTTTATGTAAAAGACTTGCAAGTATTCAACCATAGGAGAAACTACCAACTGCCTATAAAATTCATACCTGAGCAGAAAGTTTTCTAACTTCAGAATTAGTGTCTGCACAACGTGGAAGATACATTATGACCCTATCTCCTAAACACAGGGCTTCACGACTGGGCAATACATATGCCGCTGAAAGATGAGCAGAAAAACATGTTGTACTGTAAGCAAAAGAACTAGAGATAAAAGGCATACTTGGTGGAAAGCACAGAAGAGTTAATTTGTTTCAAGAAACACAATTACATGGTAAGTTTGAAAAATTCCCATGCACAGTACGGTCAATCTGCTTGTTGTGCGTGCAACTCCCATGGCAGCCCAGTGCACAATAGCCACTAGCACAAAGTGTCCGAAACTTCAGAAGCATCTCATGCACTGCAAGAGAACCCCTTCTCCTTTGATATTCCATAGGTGAAGAAACATATTGATCAAGTTGTCGCAAAATATGCAATAGTTGGTCTGCTCGACTTCTTCCATCCTCTCCACTTAATGTTACACATATATAGAGAGAAGATGGGTCATGAAGTGCTTTTCAGTACATGATTTTACATATGCAAGAACTTAAAATTAAAAAAACACATGCTTCACCTATTTCTTTGTGGGATTTTTTCTAAAGCAAACCTTGACATTACAACTAGACTAGGGGATGTAATGAGTCTTACCCCGCAAAGAAATGTAACTACAAAAAGAAAATGGATATGCATGTAAAAGAATCCAGCTACGATGGCATTTCTAGTAAAACTGATATTTTGAGAATCTCATAGAATCTTGAAAAAGCATACATTAACAAAGACTCTAGTGAGAAATGCCAAGATTGACTCTAGTTGACTGATGCACCTACTTCAATCTCTTCATTTATAGTTTTATCGTTTCTTATCCCAAAGAAAAAATGCCAAGATTGGCTGACTTATATGTTTGATTCATGGGAAAATGCAGAGGAATCAATAATTTTTTTTAAAAGGTAGTTGAGGGTATAAGTGATATTTCAAGAGGTAACAAAACCTCTTTTGGATGGAAATTAACATGAGATTTCTGATTTTTTTTAAAACATGAGATGTCAATGATGTTTCACAAAAGCTCAGGGGTTCCTTGAAATTTGCACTAAATATTATTTATTAATTGCTTTAGATATACTCAGGAGTACAACACTATTAAGAGTCTACAATAAGCTCAAAGGGAACAGCTAGTCACTCTCAAAGCAGATGCAGCTGATTCAAACTTGTAACACAAAGAAACATGTGATGTTTCCCAAGAAGTAAGTCATACACAAAAGCGTAGACCTCCTAATTAAACAGTACCTCGTAAGAAGAATCGCACATAAAAGAGTAATAAGGTTGTCAATAAGTGGATTGATAACTTCTATCGGGTCATTTGGTAAAGCAAAGAACCCTAAGGTGGCCTGTCAAATTTTTCAGAGCACTTCCATAAGACTGGGAACAAGATGATTAATGAAATAAGTAATACGTTGTTAAAGATAAATAATCAAAATAAAATGTACCTTCATAACATGATTTCTTGTCTCAATTGTCAGCTTTGGCTCCACAGAAACCAAGGTAGTACATGCACTTAGAGCAAGGGCCTGAAGAAATGACCACAAATAGAAAAAGGGTCAAAAGAAGTTCAGATATGATTTTCTAGGACAGGACATTGATGCTCAAAAACATAATCGTTCCAATGCAATTAACACACCTGAGTGCGTAGGAGTTCAAGACTTGAATCTGCAAAATCATCATTTTCATCTACTCCCATCAAAGTTAATATGTAGTCGAGCAATTGGTCTCTCCTTTTCAGAGGGAAAGATGCACCATTTTCCGCAGCATTAATGACAGCACGACCTGCATGAAAACCGTTCCCAACTGTGATATTTTCTTATATCTTCACAATATTGAGTACAGAAAAAACAATAGAAACAGAACTATTTGCCAATTCACACATCTTCACAATATTGAGTAATAGAAAAAATAATAGAAACAGAATTATTTGCCAATTAAGAGGTTTTATGCCATGCATTCAAATTTAAGAATGATGTAAGAAACTATACAATTTCAAGTAAGGGATTTTCCCCTTCACTTCTAAAATAACATAACTATTCTTCACAGTGTTCCTCATGCTATGAGAAGCGAATCTTCCACTACCAGGAAGATAATACATACATTTTTTAAGTTTGAAAGGACTGAAAGTCTTATCTTGATAAATATATTGACAGACCAAAAATCAATTTCCCATTTCTACTCTATAAGATAAAAGTTGTACTTGGTCAACTACATTATTCTTTAATTTCTCCAACTAAGTTGATTTTGTTCCTCCGTTGTTCTGCTTTCTAGCAATGATTGAAAATTAAAAACTAACTTCACTAAAGCACAGCCGTCCACCTCTAGTGTTTGGGTCTAAAGAGAAAAGGGAATCCACCAACCCAGTCATGTGTTATCCTCTTAGCTATAAGGAAGAAAAACTTTGGAGTAGGAAGAGAATAAAACTAAAATTAAAGCATATATTATTTTTAATAAGAAACTCAATGTGTTAAAATGGAAAAAAACAAAATGAAGTTGCTACATGTGTCAAGGGGACCAACTATCCACAAAGAGTACAAAAAATAAATAAATAAATAAGGGGCAACCCTCTGCAACCAAATATATGCCAACAGGCACAAAACCCCTCTCTATACAACCCCAACCCAAGCTAAACACTTCAAAACCCTTCCCTATTGAGATGAATGAAAAAGAAAGAGCACTTTTGGTTATTAAAGCATTTTATTAATAATAAAAAAAATAAAAGCTTCCAAAGACGAGGAAGTTGTTCTAACTTCACCAACTAAATTAACCACCATCAAGCACGCAAAAGGTATATGACTCCACAACATTCAATTGGATTAACTAATATGAATCACAGAAAACTTTCTTCAGCTCTTGAGCAGTGTTTTTGCCTCTCCCGTTACATATGCACCTAGAACAAAACTTTGACAGCCCAAAACTCTGTTGCATCTCCATAAAACTATGCACACCCAATCTTTCACTATTGACGTTATACAACATACTCATCCAAAAACAAGCACTTAATGGAGACGGGAAAATTAAAATCCCATGCCAACTCAAAACTAATCTGGACAATCCCCAAATTCATCTACTAGAAATGACCTTACAGAATATTGTCAACTTCTTCAACATGTCATTAATTTTGTTTGACTGCAGGCTCATAAGTGCAATATATCAGGAATTAAGAAAATGAAACCACTGGTAAGTCCATATAAATAACAATTCTCATTGCAATATGCGTAAAACACAAGTATACAAAAATTCCTAACAAACCATAACATGAATAACAGCAACTATTTAAACAAACCTAGTAAATCAATAGCAGTTATAACAGCCTGCTTTGCTGTTGGGTGGCGTACATGAAGAAGCCGTGAAAGCATATTTGTCCCCTGCAGGCAAGAGAAACATATAACTGACTTATCTATTATATGAAAAGGTCACAGAAATAATAACACAATAAAACAGCAGTGCATGCACATTTAACTATAATCCGCCAGAAAGCATCAACTTAAGAACTCCCTAAGGCACTGAGGGGAATCCTATTGGCTCCAACTGGCTGAAATAACTTTTTTTTTCTCTTATTTTACTTAAGACAGTTTATATACGGTGTAAAAATAACTTTCCCTTGAGCTTGAAATGCAGCTCATCAAAACTAACACAATTATACACTCAATGACAATTAACATTGTGAATACATATCTTGTGTAGTGGTGTCCACACAAGAAAGAGACTATTACATTTCTGGAAAACACAAATAATGAAATATGGATGTGTATACGTTTAGGAACTACTAACATAGAATTATTTTATTGCCTTTTTACTTAAGTAAATCCTTGATATTAACCTAATCAAGATGATTCCAAGTAAAACATCTCTATTTCATATTCCTACTGATTGTAGAGGAAGAGAAAACGCCTTATAGAACAGGAAGATAAGTAAATTGTAAGTCTACTTTGGCTCAACTAATCATCTTCTGTTTATTGTAATTTGTAAAATGGAATCCCAGGACTCCACTGTGGAAGCTAAATGCCTCCTATAGTTCCATCATGAGATAACACTGCACAATGTTGTATCTGCAAAATTATAAAATAGAAAAGGATAACATCATCTAACAGAGTGTTTCTAACTCATATCTCAAGCAGGGATATCAGGCTCTCCTGTTTACTCGGTCGATATTTTTAATTTCTCATATTTGCCAATCTCAGAAATAAAGGCTATAAAAAAACCCAGTGGGAAAACCATTAGATTTAGTAGTAGTCAGAAATTAAAGAAGCAAAAACATAATGTTAGAGAAGCCAACCCAACAGCTTAAGCAAGGTGGAAGAGCCCAACAAATATATGTAGCAAATTCCAACTCCAAACCCAAATACTATGGCACTCGCCAAATGAAAGTCTATCTTTAAATAAAAAACACAAATGAAAGGTGACATACAACAAGTGCTTCAATTCTGGCTTCAATAACTGTTGATGGGGCATATCTTGCAGCATATCCATACATTAGAGCCAAAGCAGCATGTATATCATCTGATTCTTCCATTCTACTACCATCTGAGAAGATAGATAATAATCTGCAAGAGGTGAAGGCGCAAACTCTTCAGATTGACCCTCATACATTTTTGGCAAACTCACAATGAATTGCACATTAAAGCCCAATCTCAGCAAGCATTTTTCATCAACTAAAATCCAAAAAACACAATTCAAGTTTCTCTCGAATCTGCAAGAATAGCTTTTATAAAATGATCTAGAAAATTAAGTATTTGTATGTATGGTACTTTGCTAATCATTAATTTTTTAAATCCAAGATATTTAAAAGAACCATTGTGTAACATCTGATAGCCAAAACAGAAAGGGAAAAAAAAATGCATCAAGTATGAGTTGTAAACGGTTTGAACATCAAGATTCAACCTGAAACAAAAGGAGAGGACAGACGAGGGGAGAGATCTTTCTGAAACCAAAAGAAAATAATAACACTCAAGGCATAATGTATGGGAAAACATTTTCTAAAACATTTTCAGTGATGCTGTTGGTGAAGTGCATCATTATCATTAAAGTAAGGGCACACACCTCTGAAAAATACTTAGCCCAACATTATCCAGAATAGCTTTTAGCTTATCCAACACAGTGTCCAAGTGGGATGCTGCAACCTGGTAGCGATTCAAAGGACAAATGATAAACATTGAGAAAGAGAAGACTGCAATTATAAAAATTAAACTCTTGAGTTACCAATCCCATAGCTTTTGCCAAACCAAGCCTGTTAGTTGGAATAGCAATATTGGCTTGTTTGTACATCCAATCAATCTTATCACGAACATAAGCCCTGTCATCAACTTTCTGAAGAAGCATACCCAGGCAACTGCAAAAGAAAAGATGCAATGACAATAACAAAGAAGACTCCAATAACATAGACTTCTGAAAACAAGAATCCAAAACTTTTTCCAAAACGGTCAATAAATTGAAACCAGAAACCTATGTGAACAAAGCATCTTCAGATAAATACTAAATTTGTCAAAACTGCACACCTTGAAAGGTACTCAAGCAAATTGCATATAATAATATATAATAAAAATACAACCTCTATCTTCCTCCCAATCTAGTAAAAAGAAATCTATCCACCTGCAACAGAATGGAATAGTTCCGACATTAGACCAGGTAAACGAAGCCCCATATAAAGCTTGTTTAGAAGCTAAGATGCCTTGGGCTATCCCAGAATCTTGTGATTCACTTCTCATAGACAATGTAGTTGCCTTTGGAAGAGGAAGAAAACCAAAACCTTTTTGAGATATGCCATTTCAGCTCTTTCTTAGGTGATTTGGATGAAAGAAATAACCAGATTTTTTATGACAAAAGAGCAGAAAACAGTAGCGAGTTACAGGTAAAAGTCCACCTTTCCTCTTCACTTTGCCTTTAATTGGTAAGGAGTATCAGGATTCTTCTTTTTTGTCTTGATTCATCTCAATTGGGAAGGGGTTCTAGGTTAATTGTATAGTTTGTGGTCTATTTTGTAAAGGAACAGGATGGTTACTCACTACACATAGGTGTGTAGATTTCTTAGCCCTCTCATGGCTTTTTTATAGTTTCTTATACGTATAAACAAGAGCAGGATCAATAGCCCTATATTCTATTCGCAACTTTTTGAGTCTTAATGCATTTGAATGATTGAGATTAAAACTACCAAATATAGTGTTTAATTTGTATCAAAAAATGATGCCTTCAAACCTACTTGTATGTATACAGATAACACATACAAACATCAATTCTGTCAAATTGTTGTTCTATAATTGTACCTTCTTATATGTCAAGTAGGCATTGCTACTTTATTCGTGAAAAATGAAGTTGCACAATGCATACCACATGGAGACAGAACATTCCTTATTTTAGTTTTAATTTTCTTCACATTTCTATTTTTATAAGTTCCCCATAAAAAGATAGTGTCCTAGCATAAAGGTATTTGACATAAGACAAACAGATTGAAAAACAAAAGAGAGAAAAGAAATTGGAGACAAATCAAATTAGGAATGAGAGAAAATGCGAGAGAAAGGGAAGAAAATCAAAGAGAAAGGGGAAGAAAATTGAAGAGACACAGGAGGGGAAACAGATAGAATCCAGGGAGAAAATCAATGTTCAATAATCCATCAAGTCTATTTCCAAAACAACATTAGGCTCTACTTATAATAGTGTTATCAAGCCCTAGCTAAAAGAACCTTGGAAATAACAAAAATCTAATTATTAAAATTATATATAACTTAAACAAGTAATAATACGACTCAGCTACCAACCCAGTCATGTGTTATCCTCTTAGCTATAAGGAAGAAAAACTTTGGAGTAGGAAGAGAATAAAACTAAAATTAAAGCATATATTATTTTTAATAAGAAACTCAATGTGTTAAAATGGAAAAAAACAAAATGAAGTTGCTACATGTGTCAAGGGGACCAACTATCCACAAAGAGTACAAAAAATAAATAAATAAATAAGGGGCAACCCTCTGCAACCAAATATATACCAACAGGCACAAAACCCCTTTCTCTATACAACCCCAACCCAAGCTAAACACTTCAAAACCTTTCCCTACTGGGATGAATGAAAAAGAAAGAGCACTTTTGGTTATTAAAGCATTTTATTAATAATAAAAAAAAAATAGAAGCTTCCAAAGACGAGGAAGTTGTTCTAACTTCACCAATTAAATTAACCACCATCAAGCACGCAAAAGGTATATGACTCTACAACATTCAATTGGATTAATTAATATGAATCACAGAAAACTTTCTTCAGCTCTTGAGCAGTGTTTTTGCCTCTCCCGTTACATATGCACCTAGAACAAAACTTTGACAGCCCAAAACTCTGTTGCATCTCCATAAAACTATGCACACCCAATCTTTCACTATTGACGTTATACAACATACTCATCCAAAAACAAGCACTTAATGGAGACGGGAAAATTAAAATCCCATGCCAACTCAAAACTAATCTGGACAATCCCCAAATTCATCTACTAGAAATGACCTTACAGAATATTGTCAACTTCTTCAACATGTCATTAATTTTGTTTGACTGCAGGCTCATAAGTGCAATATATCAGGAATTAAGAAAATGAAACCACTGGTAAGTCCATATAAATAACAATTCTCATTGCAATATGCGTAAAACACAAGTATACAAAAATTCCTAACAAACCATAACATGAATAACAGCAACTATTTAAACAAACCTAGTAAATCAATAGCAGTTATAACAGCCTGCTTTGCTGTTGGGTGGCGTACATGAAGAAGCCGTGAAAGCATATTTGTCCCCTGCAGGCAAGAGAAACATATAACTGACTTATCTATTATATGAAAAGGTCACAGAAATAATAAAACAATAAAACAGCAGTGCATGCACATTTAACTATAATCCGCCAGAAAGCATCAACTTAAGAACTCCCTCAGGCACTGAGGGGAATCCTATTGGCTCCAACTGGCTGAAATAACTTTTTTTTTCTCTTATTTTACTTAAGACAGTTTATATACGGTGTAAAAATAACTTTCCCTTGAGCTTGAAATGCAGCTCATCAAAACTAACACAATTATACACTCAATGACAGTTAACATTGTGAATACATATCTTGTGTAGTGGTGTCCACACAAGAAAGAGACTATTACATTTCTGGAAAACACAAATAATGAAATATGGATGTGTATACGTTTAGGAACTACTAACATAGAATTATTTTATTGCCTTTTTACTTAAGTAAATCCTTGATATTAACCTAATCAAGATGATTCCAAGTAAAACATCTCTATTTCATATTCCTACTGATTGTAGAGGAAGAGAAAACGCCTTATAGAACAGGAAGATAAGTAAATTGTAAGTCTACTTTGGCTCAACTAATCATCTTCTGTTTATTGTAATTTGTAAAATGGAATCCCAGGACTCCACTGTGGAAGCTAAATGCCTCCTATAGTTCCATCATGAGATAACACTGCACAATGTTGTATCTGCAAAATTATAAAATAGAAAAGGATAACATCATCTAACAGAGTGTTTCTAACTCATATCTCAAGCAGGGATACCAGGCTCTCCTGTTTACTCGGTCGATATTTTTAATTTCTCATATTTGCCAATCTCAGAAATAAAAGCTATAAAAAAACCCAGTGGGAAAACCATTAGATTTAGTAGTAGTCAGAAATTAAAGAAGCAAAAACATAATGTTAGAGAAGCCAACCCAACAGCTTAAGCAAGGTGGAAGAGCCCAACAAATATACGTAGCAAATTCCAACTCCAAACCCAAATACTATGGCACTCGCCAAATGAAAGTCTATCTTTAAATAAAAAACACAAATGAAAGGTGACATACAACAAGTGCATCAATTCTGGCTTCAATAACTGTTGATGGGGCATATCTTGCAGCATATCCATACATTAGAGCCAAAGCAGCATGTATATCATCTGATTCTTCCATTCTACTACCATCTGAGAAGATAGATAATAATCTGCAAGAGGTGAAGGCGCAAACTCTTCAGATTGACCCTCATACATTTTTGGCAAACTCACAATGAATTGCACACTAAAGCCCAATCTCAGCAAGCATTTTTCATCAACTAAAATCCAAAAAACACAATTCAAGTTTCTCTCGAATCTGCAAGAATAGCTTTTATAAAATGATCTAGAAAATTAAGTATTTGTATGTATGGTACTTTGCTAATCATTAATTTTTTAAATCCAAGATATTTAAAAGAACCATTGTGTAACATCTGATAGCCAAAACAGAAAGGGAAAAAAAAATGCATCAAGTATGAGTTGTAAACGGTTTGAACATCAAGATTCAACCTGAAACAAAAGGAGAGGACAGACGAGGGGAAAGATCTTTCTGAAACCAAAAGAAAATAATAACACTCAAGGCATAATGTATGGGAAAACATTTTCTAAAACATTTTCAGTGATGCTGTTGGTGAAGTGCATCATTATCATTAAAGTAAGGGCACACACCTCTGAAAAATACTTAGCCCAACATTATCCAGAATAGCTTTTAGCTTATCCAACACAGTGTCCAAGTGGGATGCTGCAACCTGGTAGCGATTCAAAGGACAAATGATAAACATTGAGAAAGAGAAGACTGCAATTATAAAAATTAAACTCTTGAGTTACCAATCCCATAGCTTTTGCCAAACCAAGCCTGTTAGTTGGAATAGCAATATTGGCTTGTTTGTACATCCAATCAATCTTATCACGAACATAAGCCCTGTCATCAACTTTCTGAAGAAGCATACCCAGGCAACTGCAAAAGAAAAGATGCAATGACAATAACAAAGAAGACTCCAATAACATAGACTTCTGAAAACAAGAATCCAAAACTTTTTCCAAAACGGTCAATAAATTGAAACCAGAAACCTATGTGAACAAAGCATCTTCAGATAAATACTAAATTTGTCAAAACTGCACACCTTGAAAGGTACTCAAGCAAATTGCATATAATAATATATAATAAAAATACAACCTCTATCTTCCTCCCAATCTAGTAAAAAGAAATCTATCCACCTGCAACAGAATGGAATAGTTCCGACATTAGACCAGGTAAACGAAGCCCCATATAAAGCTTGTTTAGAAGCTAAGATGCCTTGGGCTATCCCAGAATCTTGTGATTCACTTCTCATAGACAATGTAGTTGCCTTTGGAAGAGGAAGAAAACCAAAACCTTTTTGAGATATGCCATTTCAGCTCTTTCTTAGGTGATTTGGATGAAAGAAATAACCAGATTTTTTATGACAAAAGAGCAGAAAACAGTAGCGAGTTACAGGTAAAAGTCCACCTTTCCTCTTCACTTTGCCTTTAATTGGTAAGGAGTATCAGGATTCTTCTTTTTTGTCTTGATTCATCTCAATTGGGAAGGGGTTCTAGGTTAATTGTATAGTTTGTGGTCTATTTTGTAAAGGAACAGGATGGTTACTCACTACATATAGGTGTGTAGATTTCTTAGCCCTCTCATGGCTTTTTTATAGTTTCTTATACGTATAAACAAGAGCAGGATCAATAGCCCTATATTCTATTCGCAACTTTTTGAGTCTTAATGCATTTGAATGATTGAGATTAAAACTACCAAATATAGTGTTTAATTTGTATCAAAAAATGATGCCTTCAAACCTACTTGTATGTATACAGATAACACATACAAACATCAATTCTGTCAAATTGTTGTTCTATAATTGTACCTTCTTATATGTCAAGTAGGCATTGCTACTTTATTCGTGAAAAATGAAGTTGCACAATGCATACCACATGGAGACAGAACATTCCTTATTTTAGTTTTAATTTTCTTCACATTTCTATTTTTATAAGTTCCCCATAAAAAGATAGTGTCCTAGCATAAAGGTATTTGACATAAGACACACAGATTGAAAAACAAAAGAGAGAAAAGAAATTGGAGACAAATCAAATTAGGAATGAGAGAAAATGCGAGAGAAAGGGAAGAAAATCAAAGAGAAAGGGGAAGAAAATTGAAGAGACACAGGAGGGGAAACAGATAGAATCCAGGGAGAAAATCAATGTTCAATAATCCATCAAGTCTATTTCCAAAACAACATTAGGCTCTACTTATAATAGTGTTATCAAGCCCTAGCTAAAAGAACCTTGGAAATAACAAAAATCTAATTATTAAAATTATATATAACTTAAACAAGTAATAATACGACTCAGATCTCTAAAATAAAATATTCCCTCTAATAACCACTAAATTCAAATTTAAACTATTTTTAATCAGTGTGCTAACAAGTATTATCAAGAAGCATCCAAGTAGTGAATGCTTTCTACTACAAGTTTATCTTCAAATTTTGACATCACTTAGTCATCCAAGACTGGTCAAGTCTTACCACCATCCAATAGAAACACAGCCCACTACTAGAAATAATCAAGCTGGTTATAACTGACTATTGAGGTATAGGTAAACTAGATTTACAGAAGAATAGAATCTTATTTTTTGCATAAATCTGAATGTTGATATAACAATTGTGCTCAAGAATTTCAGTCATTTTTCCAGAAAAGCATGATAAGTAGATGCAAGTGACCAAATTTTGTGGGATTTTTTAGAAACAACTTATTTCAAGAACCTTACTGATTTAACCACCTTTCATGTGATCAAATAAATACCCTTTATTTGTCAATTAACCGAACCTACATACATGTCATGCTCAAAAGTAGCAAGTACTAAGATATTCAAAAGAATATGCAACTCTAAAGTCCAAGAGTTATTTTTGTGCCCAAAATAATAAGCAATGATTCATCCAATGTTTCATTAATTCAAGAAAGCAAATTCAAAAACTAATACCGGTGAAGAATGCCGAATGTTCATCATCAGGCGTATAAAGTACATATTGTTCAGTAAATGCATTTCCAAGAAAATCACCCCAAGCAGGGTCTTGAATTACATCCAAAGATTCTGCAAGAAACTGTCACCAGATACCAAAAAACATCAGCATACCTATTGTTGCAAAGGGCCTTGACTTTGTCGCTTTCTTATATTGATAACAGAAGCAAATTATATACGGTGTTTCAGACTTTAAGAACCTCTCTCTCAAATAAAAATGGATTGATAAGCTAAAGCTTCTTACATTGATGATCATGTCATCCCAAGTCTCCTGGTATGAAGGATCCAGCTTTAGGTCTTCTGTATCACTAACATATCCTTCATTTTTGGAATCTAGAGCTTACAAGGATGACAACCAATTAAATTCTGTTGTAGATTGTTGTAGATAATCATGCAAAATCTTACAGATATTGCATGATTAAGTGAATAAATCTATAATAGGATATTAGAATTGTAATCAATACATAATAGAACAAATCTGTAAAATAGGAAGTTAGTTTTTTATTTCCTAGATTAGATTATTTATTTCCTAGATTAGTTCTTTATTTTCCTATATATTGATGTATAATTTTCAATGCATCATAAGAAAATTACAATCAGTTCTCTGTTTATATCAGAGCAATACAAGCAATTCTAGGTTGTTTTATTTTTTTCAGTTTGTTTTTTTTTTTTTTTCTATTCTGCCCAAGTGAGCATTTTTCGTGAGTCACCCTGGAGAGTGGCTATTTTTCTCAGCGACTGCCTAGGAAGTTCCTCAGTTTCTCAGCCAGGTCAGAACAGTTTTGTTGATTTCTGTTGATATCAGTTTTGTTTCGTTATAGAGTTCGTTCGTTGAAGAGTTTTGTTGGCTATTTTCGTCTTCTTACCATGACTGATAAGTCTATAATTGATATGGTTCCTGTAATGTCAAAAATACGAAACATAGCTTAATGGTCTGATAACTATTTTGATTGGAGTAAGACAATTCGTCTTTATCTGCGAAGCATTGGTAAAATGATCATCTCACCAAAGATTCATCTGAAGACGATTCAAAACAAACATAGTTAGAGAGGATGCCGGTTGTTCTTGCAAATACGGAACTCCATCAACTGAGGTACTTGGTTTATTAATCATTGTGAATATGTGAAGGAATTGATGGACTATCTAGATTTTTTTTATCTGGGAAAGGGAATGGTTCTCGTATTTTTGATGTATGCAAAGCTTTTTATCGAGCTGAGAAACAAGATAGGTCTTTACGGCCTATTTTTATGGATTTTAAAAAGACATATGAAGAACTTAACATTTCTTCTACCGTGAGTGCTGATGTGAAAGTTCAACAAGCTCAACGAGAGAAAATGGCGTTATGAGTTTCCTAGCTGGACTCCCTTCTGAGTTTGAATCTGCTAAACTCAGGTTCTTGCTAGTTCTGAGATCACCTCCCTCCAAGACATATTTCTAGGTTCTTCGTACAGAAAAGCACTCCATCTGTTCATCGAGTAGTGCTCTTGTAAGTCAGAATCATGACACTCGGCCTTCATATAACAGGAGCATAATAGAGGAGGGGTTTCGAATATCGTGAGAATCGGAGTCAGGAGTCAGGAGGGATTGTGTGCTACTATTCATGAACCCGGTCATACAAAGCGCACGTGTAGAAAGTTGCAAAATAAGACCCAGAAACCTCAGTCGCTCATGTTCCGCTACTGATACTTCTGAGAAGAAGTTATGATTTCAGCTGATGAGTTTGCCAAGTTTTCTCAGTATCAAGAATCATTGAAGTCCTCATCTACTTCCATCATGCTCTCGCCGAGTCAGGTAACCAAACACATGTCTTATTTCCTCATCCTCCAAATGGGTCATTGATTCTGGTGCCACAGATCATATGACAGGTAATCCTAGTCTCTTTTCATCATATCAGTCACATAATTCCTCGTCTAATGTTACTTGTTGATGGGTCAACTTCTTGTGTTCTTGGGTCTGGGTCTGTTACCCCTACTCCGTTATTTCCCTCCTCTATATTGAGTCACCACAGTTCGCTTTATTTAATTTCTGTGAGTAAACCACTCGCGCTCTTAAATGTTGCATCTCATTTTTCCTTGATCATTGCCTGTTTCAGGATCTTACGACGAGGCAGATTATTGGTAAAGGACATGAATCTGGAGGACTTTACATCCTTGACACACAGGTGCCCAGAACCATTGCATGTTCCAGTATTTCGACCCCTTTTAGGAGCATTGTCGGTTAGGACATCCTTCTTTCACATTGTTAAAGAAACTATGTCCTCAGTTTAATAATTATCTTCGTTAGATTGTGAGTCATGTCAATTTGCCAAACACCACCGTCTTTCTTCAAGTCCAAGAGTCAATAAACGGGCTAGTGTCCCTTTTGAATTAGTTCATTCAGATGTTTGGGGTCCGTGTTCTATTGTGTCTAAACCTGGATTTAAATATTTTGTTACCTTTGTGATGACAACTCTCGTGTAACTTGGCTTTTTTAATGAAGAATCGTTCTGAGTTGTTTTCTCATTTTTGTGCCTTTTGTGCTGAAGTTAAAACTCAATTTAATACTTCTGTCCAGACATTAAGAAGCGCTAATGCCAAAGAGTATTTCTCGAGTTCTTTCAGTCTTATATGCGCCAGCATGGCATTCTATCAATCCTCTTGTGTTGACACACCATCCCAAAATGGAGTAGCCGAGAGGAAAAATAGGCACCTTCTTGAAACCGCTCGAGCCCTATTATTTCAAATGCAAGTTCCTAAACGTTTTGGGCCGATGCAGTTTCCACGGCCTGTTTTCTAATTAACCGCATGCCTTCCTCTATTTGAATGGTTCCACTCCTTACAGTGTTCTCTTCCCGTCTAAGTCTTTGTTTCCTATTGCCCCAAAGATATTTGGTAGTACTTGTTTGTTCGTGATGTTCGACCCCAAGTAACCAAGTTGATCCCAAATCTCTTAAATGTGTTTTTCTAGGTTACTCTCGTCTTCAGAAGGGATATCGATGTTATTGTCCTGGTCTTAATAGATATCTGGTGTCACCTGATGTACTTCTTAGAAAACACCCCTTTTTTTTCCCACTTCGTCTACATACCTTCAGGGGGAGGACGATGACTTACTAATCTTACTGTCACGTCCACACCTGAGTCTTCCCCACATACTGTTTCCTCCTCCGGCACCATCACTTGTCCGTCACTACCTCCAATTCGCATTGTCTATTCTCGTCGACAAGAACCTCTTGTACCAGTCCCTTCGTCGTTAGACCCAGTCCCCAGTGACCGGATACTTGTTCCTCGTCAAGAAGACACTCAGACTTCATGTCCTACCCAAGACTCTTCGTCGTTGGATCCAACCTTGAGTGATCTTGATCTTCCTATTGCTCTTCGGAAAGGTAACACAGTGTACTTATCCTATATCTTCATTTGTTTCTATGATCACCTATCATCTTCTTCTTGTTCTTTTTTGGCATCACTAGACTCTTGTCTCCTTCCTGCACGTCCATGAAGCCTTATCTCATCCTGGTTGGCGTGATGCTATGATAGAAGAGATGACTGCCTTAGATGTTTAATGGTACTTGGAACTTGGTTACTTACCTACTGGAAAGAAACCATTGGATGCAAATGGGTGTTTGCTGTTAAGTAAATCCGGATGGTCAGTGGCTCGGCTTAAAGCTCGTCTTTAGCTAAAGGCTATGCTCAAACTTATAGTGGATTATTCGACACTTTTTCCCCTATGGCTAAATTGACTTCTGTTCGCTTATTTATCTCAATGCGGCTACTCATTCTGGCCATTACATCAGTTGACATAAAAAATGCTTTTTTTACATGGTGACCTTCAGGAAGAAGTCTATATGGAGCAACCACCTGGATTTGTTGCTCAGGGAGTATGGGAAAGTTTGTCATCTTCGCAAATCGTTGTATGGTTTGAAACAGAGTCCACGTGCTTGGTTTGAAAGTTCAGTGAGGTGTTGCAAAGTTCGAATGACAAAGAGCAAGTCTGATCACTCAGTCTTTTACAAACAATCGGCAGTTGCATTATTCTTCTTGTTGTATATGTTGACGAAATTATCATCACTCGGAGTGACACTACAGGATTGCATTACTTAAGTCATTTCTTCACACTCAGTTTCATACAAAAGATTTAGGAGTGTTGAAGTATTTCTTAGGGTTGAGGTACCAAGGAGCAAGAAAGGCATCTTCCTCTCTCAGAGGAAATATGTACTTGACTTATTAACTGAGACAGGAAAATTGAGTGCTAACCATGTAGTACGCCAATGTTTCCTAATTTGCAACTTACCAAAGATGGTGAACTATTTGAAGATCCTGAGAGGTATAGAGGACTGGTTGAAAAGTTGAACTATCTACGTCCCTCGTCCGATATTGCGTACTCTGTTGTGTAGTAAGTCAATTCATGTCTTCTCCTACTGTTGATCATTGGGCAGCGTTAGAACATATTCTGTGTTATCTAAAGGAGCTCCAAGACGTGGTATTTTGTACGGAAATCATGACAATAATAATTGAGTGCTTCTCTGATGCAGATTGGGCGGGTTCCAAGATAGATAGGAGATCCACTACGGGCTACTGTTTTTTTATTGGTGGAAATTTGGTCTCATGAAAAGTAAGAAGCAAACTGTTGTCCCGATCTAGTGCAAATCGGAATATAGAGCTATGGCCCAGTCTGTGTGAAGTAATATGGATATATCAGTTTTTGACTGAAGTTTGTCTTATGGCCTCTTTGCCAGCAAATTGTGGTGTGATACCAAGCCGCTCGGCATATTGCTTCTAATCCCGTATTTCATGAACGAACTAAGCACATTGAAATTGACTGTCATTTCTTTCGTGAGAAAATACTTAAGGTTTAATTTCTACAGGATATGTGAAGACTGGAGAGCAACTAGAGATGTTTTCACTAAAGCTTTGAATGGGGTTCGGATTGATTATATTTGAAACAAGCTGGCATGATTAACATCTATGCTCCATTTGAGGGGATATTATAGATTGTTGAGATAATCATGCAATCTTACAGATATTGCATGATTAATGAATAATCTATATTATGGAGTATTAGGATTGTAATCAATACATAATAGGAACAAATTGTAAAATAGGAAGTTAGATTTTTTATTTCCTAGATTAGATTATTTATTTCCTATTAGTTCTTATTTTCCTATATATTGATGTTAATTTGTCAATGCATACATAAGAAAATTACAATCAGTTCTCTGTTTATAACAAATTCTATAACAAAACATTTATTTCACAAGTACAAGGATGAGGGCAAAAGAGAGATGATTGAAATAAATTGCTTCATGCATAGCATCATAGACTATATCTTTTTAATTAAACAAAAAAGTATTGAAGTAAATAAAGCAATGATATTATTAGCAATTGCAGCATCAGCAGTAGTAGTAGAAAAATAGAAGTTTATCCCAGATTTCAACATGTGGCGACTAAATGACAACTGCTTATAAATCCACTCTTCTGGGTGGATTCAGCTGTTACTTCCCTTTCAGATTGCCCAAAGATAATTTTTCTTATATCATCTAAAATAATGTTCACATTATTCTCTGATCGTATATATTATCTTCATAGTTTTATTAGTTTTATACTCTAAGTTTAGTTTTTGGAAGGAGAATGTTTTAGTCAGTTTTCGTTTGGCCATGTTTTGGGCATCACTAGTGACATGTCTATTGATCTTCTTGCTTTGTCAGGCTTGTCCTTTTACAGTTTGTCAAGCACCTTTATGTTAATGCATTTTTTCATACCACTAAACGAGAAATAACAGATCCTAGTTTCATCTGGATCTGTTAAATTTTTTCAAGGAAATTGAATATAAATAAAAATTACCAACTTTGTGCATTTACATAATCATTGTTGTCTGGCGGGCACATACTCCAAATACCATATAGTTTCTCAATATCTATAAAACCAACATAAGTGCCTGTGCTCAATAGAAAACACCATTGCAAACATGAACTTCAATTTCTAATGAATTTTTTTACCAAATACATGAAAGAAAAAAAAAATGGTTTACCTCATCTTGCCAAAATAAGTTAATGTTCTTCGGGAAGAGAGGTGCCAAATAATAGAGGACCTGCAAGTACACAAAGGGGTTCCTCTTGTTATTCAAATATAATCTATCCATTCCAGTAACTGTTATATGGAGCTTCATTATTTCCTCAACCTGGTATGTGGAGCTTCATAATGAAACATAATCAAATATTTTGGACAATTTTGGTTTAATTTAAACATTCTGATGGCTGCACATTAACCACAGAAAACACAGTGGATCTAAAATCCCTTTATCTTTGGCTTTACATGCCCTCTTAATTCCTTATTAGCCTTTTCCATCTTTCTTTTCAAGTTACCTCAGCAAGAAACTGCAAAAACACATTACTCACTTGCAGTATAGAAATGAAGGAAGGAGGAACAAGAGAACTCAAACCTCTTTGTCCGTATTCATAAGAGAAGAGAAAAGCCCGATATAATTCAGAAATCTGAAACCTAATAAATATTCAAAACAAACCCCTCTCTTCCATTATCTGATAATTTTGTAAAACATGGTGATAGCGCACCTCTTAGATTTATCTTTTACATACATCAATGCCCAGCAATATCGACATTACATTTAAGTCTTGTAATAACTACCTATAATAATCAAACTAAGAGAAGCTTACCGTCAAAATATGAGTTGCCAGTTGCTCCCTTGCTAGAGGATCATGCAAAACCACCACCAATCGGGCAAACAACTCCTGAAAACACCATGCACGTAGATGATTGACAAGAAAGTGAAATATAGATGATTGACAATAATTTCATGCGGTTGATAAGTGTTACAGATGTACATGACTTCCTAGATGATAGAGATCACATTAAAATCCTTGATTATAGGGATCACTTCTATCCTAATTTAGATTGATCACCTACCTAGTTTAGAACACTACAAGTGTATATAAATATGTATCCTTTTAAGTTAATAATGAGAAGTGCGAATATTCATTACGTTTATTTTCCATGGTATCAGAGCCTTAAAAGATAATTAGGGTTTGGGTCTTAAATTTGGGAAATTAGGGTTTAGGTTTCAAAATTGGAAAATTAGGATTTGGGTTTCAAATTGGGAAAACCTGTTTAGGTTGGGAGTTGTTCAACACCGCCACCCAAGGGAGATTCAGACGCCTCCGATCGGCAAAACCCTAAGTTTTGGCCTTCAGAATCACCGCGCGTGAGCTCCACGCGCCACCCGAAACTTTGGTGAACAGTAACACGGGCCGGCGCGTGAGAGCGCGTGCAAAGTTGACTTCTCCTCCGATTCTCTTCGTCTGCTTCGTCGGTACTTTTACAGCACATTTTCGTGCTGAATTGGGTAATCTCTTACTGGTTCATTGTTGTTCTTTGTTTGGATATTTTTGAGGACTTAGTTGTGATCTTTCGGCACTTTGTTTTCGTTTGGTTATTGGTTTTTTGCTTGTTGTGGCCTCTGGTTGGTGGTGACTGTTGATTGATTTGGTGTGTCACTGAAATTTAGTTAGTTTGCTTTGTTTTAACCGTTTGGTGGTGTGCATTGGGGATTAACATCTGTTTAAGACATGTCTGATACAAAGCCAGTGATGGAAATGATACCGACGATGTCAAAAATTACAGAACATAAGCTCATTGGTATAACTAATTACCATGATTGGCGTAAAACTATTATACTGTATTTGCGGAGTATTGATAAAGATGATCATATGACTGATGATCCACCTGAGGATGATTCGAAAAAGACATGGCTCCGGGATGATGCTCGGTTGATTCTACAAATACGGAACTCTATTGACGGTGAGGTACTTGGCCTAATTAATCATTGTGAGTTTATTCAAGAACTGATGGATTATTAGAGTTTCTGTATTCTGGAAAAGGAATGTTTCTCATATTTATGAAGTGTGTAAGGCATTCTACCATGCAGAGAAATAAGATAAGTCTTACAGCTTATTTATGGAGGTTAAGAAGACTTATGAAGTGTTGAGCATGTTGTTACCCTTCAGTGCTGATGTCAAAGTTCAACAAAAACAACAGGAGCAAATGGCAGTCAGAGTTTTCTTGCAGGTCTTCCTTCTGAATTTGAGACTGCTAAATCTCGAGTTCTAGCCAGTCCAAAGATCTCTTCATTGCAGGATGTCTTTAGTAGGGTACTTCGCACAGAGGTACCCCACGGTTCAGTTTAGTAGTGTTCCGCGCAGTCAAAAGAATGACTATGAATCTGGGCGATCAAAATTTGGAAGTGGCAACAAAGGAGGAGGGTCAAATAGTAATATGGGAGGAATTGTGTGTCACTATTGCCATAAGCCAGGACACATGAAGCGTGATTGTAGAAAGAGTCAGAACAGAAATAGAGAAATCCCTCTGCCATGTTGCATCCACCAATGATACTTCGGATCAGTCAGTTCTTATCTCTACAGATGAATTTGCCAAGTTTTCATTGTACCAGGAATCATTAAAGGCTTCACCTACTCCTGTCATGGCTATGGCTGACTCAGGTAAGTCAAATACATGTCTCTTTCCTCATCCTCCAAATTCGTCATTGACTCTGGTGCAACAGATCATGTCAGGTAATCCCAGTCTTTTGTACTTATCAATCAAAAACTTTCAAATGTGACTTTAGCAGATGGGTCACCATCCTACATTCTGGGTCTGGCACAGTTACCCTTATCCACAGCTTCCCTTGTCACATGTCTTACATTTACCAGATTTTTCTTCAATTTGATTTCTGTTAACCAACTTACTCGTGCTTTTAACTGTTGTGTTATTTTCTCGATTATTGCTTGTTTCAAGATCTTACGACGAGAAGATTATTGGTAAAGGACATGAATCTAGAGGTTTTACATTCTCGACAGACCAAAATCTACACCTGTCGTTTGTTAGTGGTGCATCCCCGTTTCAAGCACATTGTCTTTTGAGCCATCCATCTCTCCTTCACTGAAGAGATTAGTCCTCAGTTTAATAAAGTGTCTACATTAGAGTGTGAGTCATGTAGTTTGCTAAACATCATCGCTGCAATTTTAATCCAGAGTCAATGAAAGAGTTAATTCTCCCTTTGAGTTAGTTCACTTGATGTTTGGGGTCCCTGTCCAGTTCTGTCTAAAATGGTTTTAGATATTTTGTTACATTTGTGGGCGATTACTTCGTATGACTTGGTTATTCTTTATGAAAAATGTTCTGATTTGTTTCTTATTTCTGTGCTTTTTGTACTGAGATTAAAACCAATTCAATGTTCTATTCATACATTGCGCGGTGATAATGCAAAAGATATTTGTCAGTTCTTTTCAAAATTACAGACCAGAATGGCATTCTTCATCAAACTTCATGTGTTAATACTCCATCTCAAAACGGAATAGCAGAACGGAAAAACAGACATCTTCTTGAAACTGTCAGGCCTATTATTCCAAATTAATGTTCCTAAACCATTCTGGGCTGATGCCGTTTCCACAGCCTGTTTTTTGATTAACCGCATGCCGTCTTCTGTCCTTCATGGTGAGACCCGTACAGTATTCTTTTTCCTCACAAAGCATTATTTCCTCTTGAACCTAGGGTATTTGTAGCACTTGCTTTGTTCGGGATGTTCAACCATCAGTCACTAAATTAGATCCCAAGTCATTAAAATGTGTCTTTCTTGGTTATTCTCGACTTCATAAAGGATATCGGTGTTATTGTCTAATCTAATAAGTATCTTGTTTCCATTGATGTTACCTTTTAGAAGAACACCCATACTTTCCCTCTTTCTGCCGATCGCCCGAAGGATGATGTAATGATGATTTGTTAGTTATACCTTCACTTTCCCTGCACAATATCTGAATCAGCATCTGTCTCTGACCATGTCACTATTCCTACGCTTCCTACATCGGCTCCTATCTCTGATCCTGCTTCTGCTCCTGTCAAAGTTTACTCCGTCGTCCACTCCTCTGTTTCAGTCCGGCACCAACTCTTCGTCATCCGATCCAGTTTCAAGTGATGATCTCCTATTGCATTGCGAAAAGGTAAACGACAATATACTTATCTGTTCTTCTTTGTGTTCTTATGATCATTTGTCACATTCATCATGTTCCTTTATTGCTTCCCTTGATTCTATTGCTATCCCTAAAACTGTTCATGAAGCCCTTCTCATCCTGGTTGGCGTAAATGCAATGATAGAGGAAATGAATGTTAGAGACAATGGTACTTGGAATTGGTAGATTTACCTTCAGGGAAACAGGCAATTGGATGCAAAGAGGGTTTACAGTTAAGTTAATCCAGATGGGTCAGTTGCTCGACTAAAGCTTGTCTAGTTGCTAAAGGATATGCTCAGACTTACGGAGTTGATTATTCTGATACTTTTTCCTCTGTGGCTAAGTTTACCTCTATTTAGCTGTTTATCTCTATAGCAGCTACTTATGATTGGCCTTTGCATCAGCTAGACACAAGAATGCTTTTCTTCACGGCGATCTTCAGGAAGAGGTATATATGGAGCAACCTCCTGGGTTGTTGCTCAGGGGGAGTATGGGAAAGTATGTTATCTTCGCAACTCTGTATGGTTTAAAACAGAGTCCTCGTGCTTGGTTTGGAAAGTTTAGTCAGGCTGTTGAGAGATTTGGTAGCTGAAATGTAAAACTAAACCATTTGTTTTACAAACGGTCTGAAACTGGCATTATTCTTCTAGTTGTGTATGTGGATGATATTGTTATTACTGGGAGTGACAGTGTGGGCATCATCTCTTAAGTCTTTCTCCATACCTAGTTTACACAAAAGATCTAGGGATATTGAAGTATTTCTTGGGGGTTGAAGTTACAAGGAGAAACGAGGTATGTACCTCTCTCAGAGGAAAATGTGCTCGACTTATAATTGAGACAGGGAATTGGAGGCAAAGTCATGTAGGTTCCGATGGTTCCTAATGTGCAGCTTACGAAAGATGGTGAACTATTTGGAGATCCTGAGAAATATAGAAGATTGGTGGGAAGTTGACATATTCTTACGGTGACTCGTCAGATATGCATATTCGTAAGTGTTGTCAGTAAGTTTATGGCCTCCCCAACACATCATGGTCGACCTTGAGCAGATCTTGTGTTATTTGAAAAGAGCCCCTGGACGCGGTTTATTATATGCCAATCATAGTCACTTCATATTGAATGTTTCTCAGATGCAAATTGGGCAGGTTCCAAGGTAGATAGAAGATCCACATCAGGCTATTGTGTCTTTGTCGGAGGAAATTTATATCATGGAAGAACAAGAAGCAGAATGTTATGTCACGATCAAGTGCAGAGTCGAAATATAGGCTATGGCACAAGCTATTTGTGAAATAATGTGGATATATCAGTTACTGACTGAATAGGCCTTGAAACTTCAGTACCAGCGAAATTATGGTGTGATAACCAAGCGGCTCTTCATATTGCGATCTAATCCAGTGTTCCATGAACGAACAAAACACATTGAGATCGATTGCCATTTCGTCCGTGAGAAACTACAAGGTCGGATTTCCACTGGGTATGTAAAGACTAGAGAACAATTAGGAGATATCTTCACAAAGGCTCTAAATGAGATTCGAGTTGATTATCTTTGTAACAAGCTGGGTATGATTGAATCTATACTCTAACTTGAAGGGGGTGTTCAAATGTACATGACTTCCTAGATGATAGGGATCACATTAAAATCCTTGATATAGGGATCACTTCTATCCTAATTAGATTGATCACCTACCTAGTTAGAACACTACAAGTGTATATAAATATGTATCCTTTTAAGCTAATAATGAAAAGTGTGAAATTCATTACGTTTATTTACAATAAGAAAGTGAAATATGAATATGTCATTAAGAGATATTGTCCACTGTGGGAGTAGCCTATACAAATTGTTTTTTAAAAGCCTAAAAAAAATTGTTTTAAAGCTTCACACAAGCTTCCTTCACCCAAGATGTCTCTATTTGTAAAGGTTGACTAAGGCTTATAAATTCACTCAAGCCCTCATTTGTTGGCAATGTGGGATGTGATAAACTCACCACTTATGGATCACATCCTTGTGAGGTCGCCACACCCTACCATTGGGTCACGATCATCTAACACAACCCACTCTATACCAATTATAACAACCTGGTTCAACTATGCAGATATTCTCCGCTTTGCACCTTAGCCCGCATGGATTATTTTTAAGATTACAAGCAAGCGTCCTTCACCCAAAATGCGTGTACTTGGTGATTGAGACCTAGGCTTATAAACTGACCTAGGCTTCATTCACTAGCGATGTGGATGTGGGAAACTCTCCATCTATGGATCTGGAGTCCTCCATGCTCACAAGACGTCACACCATGATGTGAGATGTGACAATCATAGACATTAAAAAAAAATTCTATTTTGTGTTGACTTTTTATAAGGGGCATATGATGTTCTACCTCAGGATTTGGAATATCAGCACGATCTTTGCACTCATCTAGCAGGCATTGCTATAAGATCTATGTTACATAATTCTGAGATGCATCTGCAAACCGAAAAAGCACATACATAAACAAAATAATAAGGCCAAATCCAATTCACTTTCCAATAAAACTTGTTCACATGATCAAACACACAAATAGCCAAACAACAAGATACGACAAAATTGAGGATAAAAGCAAACCCCGTATAATAACTAAGCACGCAAGAAAGAGAGTCAATATCTGAGAACTAACATTTATTTTCTTGCTCCTATAAAAAAAATTAAAAAAAAATATTTGCTTGCACAATTAAGAAAATAAAAATAGTTGACACAAAACATCTTACAGTAGCAGATGCACCAGTGTAAACCCGTGGAATGATCATCTTAGTAGAAAAGGCCAAAGAATGGTGGCATAAAGTTTTAGATATCAAACGAGATGATTTTATGAGTGAAAAGTTAAGGGTTTCGGTAAGCATGGTGAACGTGCTTGAAACATGGAGACTGCTCTCACCAATGGGAATAAAGTAACCAATAGATTATAATGAATGTAAAAAAACAATTGAGGTCTACCTCCATCTCAGGAATTGTGAAAGTTATTAAAAGAAGGCCTTTTTCACATATTGCTCTTAGCTCTGTTGGACCAAATATCCCTAACTTCACCTGGAAAAACAAATACTTAGCATTAAATTGCAATATTTTATCAAAAATGAATGGATTTTAAGTACTTATTATAATATTTCAAGGTGATATAGGGCATCCCAACACCAAACTTGACCCTTGAAGAATGATGCACCACAATTAGTTGATTCTCACTGTCATAGTAACATAGTTTCATGCTATTCCTTTGGTAAACGTGATTGCATCATATGGACAGTCAAACGAATGTCTTTGTTCCAACCAATTGATGTAGGACAGATAGGAACGATGCAAAGGACATTATCCTTCTGTTGGAGTCCCACACCGACCAGACACACTCAAGCTTACTGGTTTATAAGAGAAGGTAATTCTCTCATTCAACAAGACCTTATTAAGTGAGGAGTCAAACCCACCTCAAATTCTATTATAGTATCAGAGCTAGACCCAGTTGAACTAAGTGTTTGACTAACAGCTGAGGAGTTAGGGCCAGCAACTATCTCCATCAACAGGCATGACCCAACATATGGGCTTGAGCTTGACCACGAGGGGGAGTTTTGGAGTCTCACACCGACTAGACAGGCTCAAGCCTATTGGTTTAGCAGAGGGAGTAATCCTCATATTCAACAAAGCCTTATTGGGTGAGGAGTCAGGCCCACCTCAAATTCTATCACCTTCCGTATTTTAGGATTGAGTTGTCTTAGTGAAATTAAACTTTTACTTCATTGTTTCAATAGGATTAAAATTATTAGAATTATATTTTGATTAGGATTTAGTTTCTTAAACCCATAAACAAAAGCTTCTATCACAATTGTAAACTTGCTTGGTTTATGAATAAATTTGACTATTATTTTTCTCCCTATTGATTATTTATTCCTCCTCCAATTCTTCTAGTTTTCTCCCCTTTGTTGTTCTTTGATAGGAACCCACTCCAACAACTAACAACTCAAACAATTAGGTTGGGCAATGCGTCCTTCATGGGCTTAGGGAGACCTCTTCTTGGAAAACCGGCTTGGCAAGGGTGGGTGCCCAAGCCCTTTATAACCCAAATGCCCACCCTTTTTCTTTCTAATGTGGGATCCTACCGTTCCACCATGCTTCCGCAACTGACATCCATATCGGTCTCTTTGCCCCTTGGGTGACTATATGGATCCCCTTACCTTGGGCCAGTCCGCCCTTCTTCAAGGTAGCAGCCTAAGACACGGGGCAACCTGCCACGCCTGCACTGTCACGTAGGCGCAAGATCATACTCTAATACCAATTGATAGAAACCCACTCCAACAACTTACAACTCAAACAATTGGTCTGGGCAATGGGTCTTTCATGGGCTTGGGTAGAACTCTCCTTGAAAAACCGGCTTACCAAAAGAGGGTCCCCAAGCTCTTTATTACCCACATGCTCACCCTTTTCCTTTCCAATGAGGGAACCTAACATTCTCCCAAATCTATCCTTCTTTATTTTCTTCCAATTTCTCTGTTCTTTCTCTCTGTCTTCTTCCACTTCCCTATCACTATCACTAACTCCAACCCATGCGTATAATCTCTTTCACCCTACTAAAGTTGGATGTAAGCCTTCAATAGTTTTTACAGCGAAAACAAACCCTACCTTAGAGCTCTCATGGTCATGTTGATCCTGATCTGACAAAGCACAATGGCGTACAAGATATTCAACAAACAACTCCCCAGAAGGACCAACCAAATAGCAATGTGAAGCCATGACCACGATCAACTGCCAACAAAGCAAGGATTACAAAATTGAGAAGAAAGAGGGAGTGCCTCACGAACAATTTAAGAAATATAAAGACTGACCAGTCCATAATCACATACCTCAGAAAGAGCCTTTCGAACACCTAAATTTTGTTCATCAAGTAAGGACTTTACTGCATCAACAAGTAAAGGTCGTTTACTATGCCAAGCTTCAGACGACCTCCAAATGGAAATGCAAGTAAGTCAGGTCATGTAATCAAACAGAGAATAATGATTATTGACAGACCAGATAGGGAAAATACCTTGGCAAGAGGTGCTTTAGAACACAAAGTGCACCGAAAGTCAAAGGTTCTTCCTTTAGCCGGCATTTCTGGTAGCACAACATGTAGAAGCATAATAGGCAATACACCAAATAACTAGGTCATATTTTTATAACAAGAAACAGAAAGCCTCCAAAATTTTTAATTATTCAGACAAAAAAAATAACGATGATTAACATCGTGCTTGCAAGAAATGACACTGCTCTTAAAGTGTAACCAAGCTACCCTAGAAACCATACTCACATTCAGAAGGAACAAAAATAAATCATCAGGGTACACCAAGCCAACAGTCAGAAAACAACGCTGAACTTCATTATATGCCTGCAACACACAAAGATATAATAAAGTAGAAAGAAAAAACCTGACAAGAGAGGTGCAAAAGAGATCTTGAGGCAGATATAAAAAATAGAATTTGTAATATTCAAATGATGAAAATTTACATAAAGACTGGCACCAACTAGTGGAACTTACCTTTAGTCCCACTGGAAAAGATGAACGCTCTTTACAGTCATTATAAATGCAAACCACAGGAAGCAGTGTTGATAAAATAACTGTAAGGTCCTGTGAATTAATATATGATCTATAAGAACAGAGGCTAGAAATTAATTGTGTATCTATATTTCCAAATTCAAATAAAACTTGTAAAATGAAATTTTTTTAACTTTAAAAAAGAAAACCAGAAATGGAAGTAAATTAGCCATAGAAAAAGAAAAGAGGAACATGGTACTCTAAGCATTCACATAAAATGACTACTTTAGTTGAACAATCAACCTTTTAGCTTGGATTCCAGAGAAATAACAAAGCTTTACTATATTTTCTTCTCTTATCAATTTTCAGCGCTAATTTCTAAAATAAAAAATAAAAAAAGAAGAAGAAGAAATTAAGATACACCACTTAATGGATTTCTTGTTGTCTACAATCCCAAAACCCATCTCAGTAAGAAACAACACTTCAATTTCAATCCCCTTACCCCTGAAGAAGGCGAACTCAGATATTTATTGTTACTTTTTAATGTTTCTTCATGATCTGATTGCCATTCTTCCTTTTTGGTTGTCTCTGAAAGACTTAACGTCCTCCTTTCTCTTACCTATTTTCATACTATGAATATAGTCTGTTTGTGTCATAAAATTGCACCTTGCTTACAATGATCTCACAGCCACCAAACCATTTAACTCATGCTTTTTCTCCAAGAGTTCTTTATCAACCACAGAAATGTTCCTTTTTTCCTTTCTAATTTACTTTGTTATTTATTGACCAATAATTTTAAATACACAAAAATAGAAAATTATATGCAACATACAGAATTATCTCAACGCTAACAAGAATGAAAGAGACAGACTGATAAGCAATTTTGCTGTTTGGATGTAGCCTTATCTTGTCAATTTGTAGATAATCACACATAAGCTTTGATTTATCAGTACAGAGTATGTCAAATTTTAGAAGATGGAACTTCCACTGACTGGCTAAACAAACACCAATGATCTGATGAAAACAAAACATGATTTCATATAAATCAAAATGAGAAATTAAGAAAATGAACTCAATCTTCCTCCACAGTACATTAATAAAACATTGTCGTTTGTCTTCACAACACAAACAAATTTGACTTATAGAAGTTAAACTTAATTAGCAACTGCAAAAAAAAATAATGATGATGATGATAATTAAAACTAAAACAAATATTACTTGGGATGATTGAAAACATATGCAGTACCTCAAAATCAAGCAAGGGAGGACCTGTTTCTGAAAGTAATGATGCATTTAACAGATTGTGGAGACTGCTTGTTGCGAGAAGTGCAGTATCTTGATCTCTTTTATACCTATTAACAGACAATAAAAAATGAAATGTAAACTGCAAGTCTCTATTTGATGCTCATGACTAAGACAACATATGATGGCTGTGCATGTTTGTTGTGTTTGAAAAAAAAAAAAATTGGATAATAGTAATTCAACAATACCATTATAGATAACAGTAGCACTCAAAACACAGAACACATAAATCCATGGAACAATAAAGCATCTGGTTTGAACCACTTGAGATTATATAATATAATATGACATACAGATGGTCCAGAGGAAGTGGAGCCCCTAGCCTCTTGGTTAAAACCAAAGTCCTTAGCCACTCAACCCAACCCTTAGGGTTAGATAACATGTATATGCAGTGCAACATCTTAGTGTCTAGTTTGAAACACTGGAGATAAAATTAATCTTACAATTCCAATATAGTGGGAACAAGTCTTGGCAAAGCACCCTTTAATTGAGTCCGCGCAATAAGACCAACCATTTGACCCAGCGCATCCACAGTTAATGTGCGAACCTATTACAAATAAGAATTAAGTTAACAAGAAGCAAAAATTTACTTCAAATGCAAGAAATTAATAATAATAATGTTCTTCACTTTTTGACTTTTTTTATTTACTTCAATTCTTTTTACTCCAAACATGTATACAATGAGCAGCACCATTCATATAATATGCAATTCCATCCAGAGTACAGACTGGAAGAAGCAAGATGTTACTTATTAAATTCCAGTTATTTTCTGCCAACAATCTTAGCAATCACATAAAGAAGTCCTAAGAAACCCATAACATCATATATTTAGTCTAGTTTAAAAAACAATCCGAGGAAAGATAAATGAACGAACAAATGATGGAAAAACATCCAATAACAATATAATTGTAGTAAAGCAAAAAATGATAAAGAAAAGGACACATAAAAGAAAGGACAAAAAAAAATTCAAGCAAACCTTAAAATCCCGTGATGTTGCCCAAGCTCTCAATAAAAGCTCAAAAGCAGAATTCAGAAATGACCTGCACCACATGAAATATTAATTAGATTTATGTGATTGTAATATGGGGCACTTGAGAAGTAAAACAAAACCAAATATTGAGCTCACATGATATCACCATCCAGAACGGAATGTGAAGGGAAATCAAGACTATATTGCCAAGCAGCCTGACACCAACATTTAAATGCTGGAAAACCACAACATTATGTCACCGAAAATGAGAGTTAGGTTTGCTAACTGAATTGAACCAGCTTTCATGCTCAGGCTGACCCGATATGTAATCACACCTATATCAAATTGCAAATGTCCAACAATGGAGGGAAAAATCATTCAACATACCATTTGCGAATATTGGCCGGTGGACATCCCGCACATTTCCAAGTACGGGTAGAACTCGTGACAGCACACCTTTCAGTCGTGGAGTGAACTGTAAAGCTTCAATTGAATTAAAAAATACAAATGACCATTTAGTTTTAGCAAACAAAGAGAGCATAGAAAAAAAATCCAAGCTAAAGACAAAACATGAAGAAAAGGGAGGTCAGATGATAACCATCAGCAGAAGCAAAGTCTGCAAGTATTTGAACCATAGCTGGCAAAGCTGAATTTGCCCCAGAAAAATAGAGAAATATTTCTTCCATCATCTGCCAAAAGCAGGAGCAATTAAGAGAAAGATAGAGAGATTCAACAAAAGCAGTAGAAAGAATGACCAAGCCAATGCTTAATGTCATGATGTTAAGAATGTCAAATAAAGAATACATTAAGAAAGTGAACATTCCAAAAGTTATAAGCCATTTTACAGAATCAGAAGACACTAATTCAAGCAACAATTTCATTGTAAATAAATGAAAATTCAGTATCACTTCCTTCCCAAAATCACACTCTTAGTAGCTATCCAGTTTTTGACAAAGATGGTGAGTATAATAAATCCAACACATTCATAAAAAAAATACATTATCAGATGCCAATAGAACTATTAAACACTAAACAAACCATACTACCATTTAGCTTTATCAAATTATACCATCAATTGCTCACCCTGGAGTTGAAATAATATGATAATATGATTTCAAATTCAACTATTCATTCATAAAATGGGAAGATAATGGTATGCTGCAGACAGCGGCAAAGCCATATGAAGTTCAGTGTGGCCAAACTTAAACCAATCCTTTTCCTAGTTCTTGGTGGCACAAATATGCCTTAGAGAGTTGATCCACTGCTACCCCACACATCTTTTCTTATAACAAATGAATTTTGTCTTGTAAGAGTAGCAACCAATTCATGTTTTTTCTTTCTTAAACTTATCTACACTTTTATTGTTAAATTCTCTGTTAGAGCTCTTTACTTATCAATTTATCTTCTCTTTCTTAGTGTATCTCTTCTTGTCTTACTCTCATGGTGTCCCTCTACTCTCCAGTTGAATACTTTCTAATTTGCTCTTAAATTTGAAAATTTTACTTCACAGTATCAACTGTTTTACTTTTTTATCAGTTATGTGATTCATGATAATATATTCTAGCATGCATTCAGTTTTTTTGAATTAAAAAAGAGAAGTGATCTGGAAGGAAAAATGGCAGGAAATAAAGGACATTTCCTCATTCTAAGATAACATATATCTGAAGAGACACAAACCAGTAAAGAGCCACCTCAAGTCGTCCTTAGGTACCAGGGCATGCAGAGTAACTTGGCAAGGGTTATATTTATATATACTAAGCTATTATAAGAAAAAAAGAAAAAAGAAAAAAGCAAAGGCAAATACTTACAAGGTCAGGCAAATGTGAGCCTATCGCAACAAGTAGCCCAGAAGCAGCTCTTTGCCAATCAGCATTTAGTTCCTACATCAATGAAAAGTCAAATGAATTAAAACAAGGTGATCCATAAATAGATTGGTTAAGCGCTGCAAGATGCACATAAAATCAGATAAACATGACAAATAAAATCCCAAAGTAAAAGCTGGGGTGCCAGACAGTAATTCAATACTAGAACATCACTTACCACTGTTCAGAGGATGAAAACCAATAAACTGAACCCAAGAAAGAGACTCTTGCAGGCTAAAACAATTAAAATTTCAACTTCAACCAAACAGCAGAAGTAAGTTGGTCAAACCAATTTCTGTATATAACAATGAATAACTTTTAACCATTACATCAGTCTTATTTCAAGTAAAAAATTTTGTTAGTTCATTCTACTTTGTATTTTTAACAACGAACATCCTTCATTTCAAATTTTTTTCTTCAAATCCCAAAATCTATTATAAGTTTGCCCTTTTTCTCTCTTCAGATTGAATATAGAATACATCAACAAAGCAACCACTATACTTTATGATTTCCAAATTATTCCCTCTTTTAACTAAATTATCTTCATCTATTCAAATAGTAGTATTAATCGATGCCACATTTTTTTAATTAATATGGCCAATTTTTTGCATTTCAAACCTATAGTATTTTGATGTTCCAATTATTTTCTGGTAAGTTGGCCCCACTGAAACAAAAATGTGGCTCCATCACTGCCCTTAACCTGTACATAAGCTGTTAATCAAATGCAGCAAGGCCACTCCACCGATACCAAATTTGGACAGCTCATAGAACATGTCCAAAGAATGCAATGTCGAATAAAGGGATTTCAGCCTCCCTCATCAAAAACAGTTAGTTTTCAATTAAGATGGCACAGCTTGATCCTCACAAGTTGCATTAAAGCCAAGGTAATGTAAGACATCCTCAATGCGACATCCAACAATTAAGTTCAAATTTTGGAATTTCATGTTGGAGGATGGATTTTGGCATGATGCAACAAGGCCTCTCTGCTCAAGTGAACGGCACTTAGAAGTTAGAACACGGCTGAAGAATGCAGTGTCAAATGCCATAAAAAGCTTTAGCCTCCATCATCGGTCACCAATCAGTTTTCAATTGAGAGAGAAAAGGTCAATCCTAAAATAGTCAACAATGGCATAGTTTGCATGGCCATATCCATTTAAAATATCTACTTTTCTCTCAATCTAATAATTATCTCCTCTATTAACTAATTTAGCCTTCAAAAGTCTTAGCATCTAAAATTGCTAAAAAGGAAGTGTAATGAGGTCAAACAAGAACAACATAGTAACTGATTTATTCACAAAGTGCAGTCCAAAATTAATAAAGAAGGTTATAAATCTCCCACCAATTGAAACTTATAAGAATGTAAAATCTTAGTAAACTAACAATCAAGAACTTACCCAAAAAAAAAAAACATTGGAAATAATTAAAACCCTCTAGATATAGTCTATGACTAGAGCATACACATACTAAAGCAAGAAAGCATGTTATTGCTTGGAAGAGATCATTAAATGTAACAAAGTATGAAATGATGAAAAAGAGTAAGTAAAGAACCTTGGACGAGATGATCTCAGCAGTGGCAATCTNTGATGCAGATGTACATACTGTAATTATAGATAAATTTATAAAAGCTGGTAAATGTCATAGAGCCATTAGATTGTTTAGAAGAGCCATAGTAGAGAACTACCCACTAGATGTGGTATCATATGCAGTTGCCATTTGTGGACTTCTCATGGGTGGGAGGATTGGAGAAGCATATACCTTGTATAGTCAGATGAAAGAGATTGGTTTATCTCCTAATGCTCACATTTATAATGTAATGCTTTCTAGTTTTTGTAGGGAAAGAGATATTAAAATGGTCAAAGAATTGTTACAAGAAATCATCAAGGCAAGAATTGAGCTAAACTATAGGACTTTCATGAGGGTAACTAGTTTTATATTTCAATTTCGTTCGTCTTCTTCAACCTTAAATCAGTTAATAAAAATTTGGAATATTGGATTGATTCTGATAGATCACATGCAATGCAAGTCTACAATAGGCAAAGGAAGCATAGCAGAGGATCACAAGCTGGGCTGGCAAAACAGTACAGGACAAATGGCAACAGGATAGAGGACAGTCAGCATAAGACAAATGGCAATATGGGAGAGGAGCAGTACAACATTCTGTTATTGGACTACTAGACAGATGGCAATATGGGAGAGGAGCAGTACAACATTCTGTTATTGGACTACTAGACAGATGGCAATATGGGAGAGGAGTAGTACAACATTCTGTTATTGGACTACTAGACAGATAGCAATATGGGAGAGGAGCAGTACAACATTCTGTTATTGGACTACTAGACAGATGGCAATATGGGAGAGGAGTAGTACAACATTCTGTTATTGGACTACTAGACAGATAGCAATATGGGAGAGGAGCAGTACAACATTCTGTTATTGGACTACTAGATAGATGGCAATATGGGAGAGGAGCAATACAACATTCTATTATACTGGGCATTACAAAAAGAGAGCAGATCTAAGAAAAGGGGGAGGAGAGGACAAGGAATTTTGGAAGGCAGCTAGCCCTCGAAGCACAGCAGTGTTATCTTTTGTTCTTTGAATTTGTTTGAGTATTTTGAGTTCTTGATTTTGAGTACGTTGTAAGCTTTTATTCTGGTTTTTGTTTGCATTTCCAAAAGTGTAATACACAGTCTGAATCATTCCAATACAAGCTTCAGTTCTTGAATTTTCTATTACATGTCTCTTTTTTAACTATTACATTTCATTGTTGGGTTTCTTGAGTTGCTGAATCCTATCAATTGCTATCAGAGTGAGGTTGCTCGCTAGGGTATGGTCGGTACTCGAATTGAAAATAGAATGGATGTTGTTGAGAAGGAACTTACTGGGGTGAAGAGAGACATTTCCAAGTTGACAGAAACAGTGGCATCCATAAGGGAAATAATGATGGATGTGCAAAACTGGATGAGGCGTAAGGATGAACAAGATGAAGCTCACCATAGGGCAGAAGAAGAAAGACGACGAAAGGCTGAGGAAGAGACTCATTAGAGGATGGCGGGGCAAGAAGAAGACAACAACTTAGGCACGGGGAACCACCGCGATAAACCACCACCACCACCACCACCACCTCTTCCTTACCACGGAGGCTATCACCACCACGAATGAGGAAACCGACAAAAGTGGGGTGGCAGAAAATTAGAGCTCCTACTTTTTTCCAGCGAAGATCAGTATGGTTGGGTTTTTCATGTGGAAAGGTACTTCGCCCTTAACCAAGTTGTCGACAAGAGCAAGGTCCTCTCCACGGCGTTGTGCATGGAAGGAGAGGCCTTCCATTGGTATCAATGGAACAAATCCAGGACATCAGGACTGACATGTGCTGCGTTCAAGGTAGCTTTCCTGTAGAGATTCAGCGGCGCACAAGAAATCAGCCCACTGGAACTGCTTATGTCGACGAGGTAGATGGGAACTGTGCTGGATTATCGCTGGCGGTTTGAAGAAATTGCGGCAATGACAGTAGGAGAAAGGGAAGATGTGCTTTCTGCAGCGTTTTTGAATGGGTTACGACCTGAGATCAGAGCTGAAGTGAAGCTCCAACAACCAGGAATTTTGGGTCAGCCAAATTCTTTAACTCAAATTTCAGTTCTAGCCCAAAGAGTGGAAGAAAGAAATTCAATCTTGGAAGAGGCCAAAGAAGGGTTGGGCCGATAAGGAAAATTTGGGGGAATTAGTGATGGCCCACGTTTTAACTTAAACCCAACTGGAATGGAAGAACAAAAAAGAGCCCAAACACACATAACCCAAACCCATATAACCCAACCCAGCACCACCCAAACACATTCAATTTACAATACAAAGATTCAGCCCCAAAACACAAATTTCAGGCGTGCTTCCACCGAGAACAACTCCAGTTACGCGTCAACTCCAGTTGACACCTTCAGATCTTCCAACTTTCAACGAGATTTTCCTTTCCGAAGGTTGATAGAATCCGAGATCCAGAGAAACAGAGAAAAGGGGTTATGTTATAGATGTGATGCAAAATTTTCACTTGGGCATAGATGCAGTGAGAAACAGTTTCAGATTGTTTTACTTAAGGGAGAAGATGATGATCCAGAGCTGCAGGAAGAAGAGGAAAAAGAGGAAGTTGCAGCTAAACAAAATCAAAGCCATGTGGAGCTATCCATCAGCTCGGTGGTGGGAATACAGGGGCCAAAAACGATGAAGCTTAAAGGAAGTGTCCACGGTAAGGAATTAATTGTGTTGATTAATAGTGGGGCTTCCCACAATTTCGTTGGTTTGGAGGTAGTGGGTAGGTTGGAATTACCAGTGGTTACGACCCCATCCTTTAGAGTCAGAGTGGGAGATGGTTATCGGGTGACATGTTAAGGGGAATGTAAAGCAGTTCCGCTGGAATTACAAGGAATGGTTGTAGTTCAAGATTTTTTTCCATTTGAAATGGGAAGCGCTGATGTAGTACTCGGGATGGAGTGGTTGGAGACTTTAGGGGAAACAGTAATTAATTGGAAGAAGCAAACTATGCAGTTCAGATCAGGAGAGCGAATGGTACAACTACGAGGGGATCTTTCCTTAAGCAAAACACTAGTGTCTCTGAAGGCCATGATTAAGACTGTATAGAGGGAAGGACAAGGAGTGTTAATCAAGTTTGGGGAGACTCAGAGACAAACGGGAAACAAAGAGAGAATTGACGAAAAATTGGTGGAGGTGCTGGATAAGTTTGGACAGGTGTTCGAACCCTTGGCCGGATTACCACCCATCAGAACTCAAGACCATTCAATTCCATTAGTGCCAGGAACCTAACCCCCAAATCTTCGATCGTATAAATACCCATACTATCAAAAGAATGAGATAGAGTGTATTGTTAAAGAGATGATGGCTTCCGAGATCATCAAACCCAGTGTGAGTCCGTTTTCAAGTCCTGTGCTACTAGTGAAAAAGAAAGATGGTGGATGGAGGTTTTGTGTTGACTACAGGGCCGTGAATAAAATTATAGTACCAGATAAGTTTCCAATTCCAGCAATTGATGAATTGTTTGATGAACTAGGAGGAGCATTGGGATTCTCTAAACTGGACTTGAAGTCAGGTTACCACCAGATACGAGTCCTCCCTAAAGACACCCATAAGACGACATTCCGGACTCACGAAGGACATTATGAATTTTTGGTTATGCCTTTCGGATTAACAAACACACCTTCCACTTTCCAAGCATTGATGAATGAAATTTTCAGGTCGCACTTGCGCAGGTTTATACTTGTTTTCTTCGACGACATACTCGTCTATAGTAAGGGGATGAATGAGCATTCGGGACATTTGGCAACCGTCCTTCAGATTCTACAGGAACATCAGTTGACAGTGAAGAGAAAAAAATGTTTGTTCGGGCAGCGACAGATAGAGTATTTGGGGCATATCATCTTAGCTGAAGGCATAGCCGTTGACCCATCCAAGATAGAGAGCATCATCAAGTGATCGGTACCAAAGAATGTGAGAGCACTCCGAGGGTTTCTCGGTTTAACAGGCTCGGCGTTTTGTCCAAGATTACGGTAAGATCGCAGCACCCCTAACAACTTTACTTAAAAAATTGCTTTCGGATGGAACGAAGCAGCCCAAACCGCGTTCGAAGAGTTGAAGAGGATTATGACTAGCATTCTGGTTCTAGCTATGCCTGATTTTTCCAAAAAGTTTGTGATAGAAACAGATGCTTCGGGTAACGGATTAAAGGCAGTTTTGAGGCATGAAGGACGGCCACTTGCGTACATAAGTAAAGGGTTGTCGATGAAGTCTCAGTTAAAGTCCGTCTATGAATGGGAACTCATGGCCGTGGTGCTAGCCACTCAAAAGTGGCATCATTATCTCCTAAGATAGCAGTTTGTTATCCGAACAGACCAACGAAGTTGCACTTCCTGATTGACCAAAAATTGTTGAGTGAAAGTCAACAGAAATGGGTCATCAAGCTGCTGGGATAGAATTTTGTCATATAGTATCGATCAGGAGCAGAAAATAAGGCTGCTGATGCACTGTCTCGCAGAAAAGAAAAGGCGAAACATAGTGCCATAACCGTGGTTGTTTTGCAGGTATAAAGGACTTAGAAGAAGCTATTCAGAAGGATGAGAAAATGCGTCACATTATTCAACAACTTCTAATTGATCCAAAGGGCCGACCTCCCTTCCAACTGGCGGGCCATCACTTACTCTATTAGGGCAGGTTAGTAGTCCCTAAAATAGGCCCTCACATACAAAACCTTCTACATGAGTTTCATTCTTCACCTATGGGGGGACATTCCGGGTTTTTTAGAACCTATAAATGCATTAGCAATGTGGTTTATTGGGAGGGGATGAGAAAGGATATCAAGAATTTTGTGGAAGCTTGCGTGGTTTGCCAACAAAACAAATACGAGGCCTTGAGTCCTTCGGGATTGTTGCAACCACTACCCATTCCGAATCAAGTTTGGGAGGATATATCTATGGACTTCATTTCAGGGCTTCCGAAGGCCAAAGAGGTAGATACTATCCTAGTGGTGGTCGATCGTCTCTTGAAATATAGCCATTTTGTCACATTGCAACATCCCTACACCGTTAAGGAAGTCGCTAAGGTATTTATTGAGTAGATAGTCCGCCTACATGGGTTTCCACGATCAATCGTTTTTTATCGAGATCGAATCTTTGTGAGTCATTTCTGGGGCGAGTTATTTCGCCAATCGAGGA